GTCAGGTATAAGGCTGAGGCATAAGAAAAAAAGGTGTAACTCTATATAGTAGGTATAAAAGTCTTAAAGTTTTCATATACCCTCATGGTGACAATTATCTCTGATTCCCCCAAAGAATGTTATGTTGCTTCCATAAGATGGCAGATAATGAGGTTCAACTCACAAATAAAAGTTATTGACCTTAATTCAGGAAGAATATGTGCTTACTAGGCAATAAAGAGAAATTATTCTCACATGGTTCTTGACAGATGACTCTAGTGAGATGATTCAAAGGGTAAAATATCCTGTTACAAGCAAAATTAAGCTCCATTTATAAACTACTGGGTCTACTTGTATACTTAATACCTTTCCAATCAAAGTTTTTACCTAAACATGCAACAAGTTTAAAATGAGAAGGCCTGGGTGTATATCAACCAGAATTCTCTTTTTTTTTTTTTTTAAAGAGAAATGAAAAGAAAAAAGGGGCTGGTTTTTAAATAATAAAACATGTATACACAGAAACATAATATTAAAATTTATGCTGCCTAAATACATGGTAGTATCTAATTTTCTTCCCTCTCCAGGTGAACAAAACCCAATTTATATATAAGACTGAAACAAAGATCAAAGTCTCATGAACTTACTAAATTAAATCAGGTTTCACGCACCATCTTATCCTTAACTGAAATTATTTTCTCCACTCATCTTGGAATTAAAGGAAAAGCCTCAAGAGAGAAAAAAATAACAAACAACTTTTATACCTTATGTGAACAATGTGTCCTATCAAAGGAAAAAATTAACTATGTGTCTGTCCAGACAAAGTAATTTTACATCACTACACTACAATTACGTGATTATACTACATTACAAAAAATAATTAGGTTAAATACTGAGGACTTAAAAAAACAGCAAGAGCTTTGTCCACACTCACGAGAAAGTAATCAAAAATAAATACAAAACTAATCAACAATCTGGGCAGCAGTTTATGGTTAAAAAAAAAAAAAAACCAAAACCTGTGGTGCAATATTTGAGCGCTCAACTGCTAACCAAAAGGTTGGTGACTCGAACCCACCCAGTGGCTCTGCAGAAGAAAGACCTGGTGATCTTCTACCATAAAGATTATAGCCTAGGAAACCCAATGAGGCAGTTCTACTTCGTTCTAGAGGATTGTTATGAGTCGAAATCGACTCAATGGCACCTAACAACAGCAACAATAAAAAACCCCAGAACAAATCTGCTTCCATTGAGTTGATTTTGACTTGTAGTGTCTTCTACCTACAGGACAAGGTAGAACTGCTACACAGGATTTCCAAGGAGCAACTGTTGGATTTGAACTGCCAACCTTTTGGGAAATAGCCGAAAGCTTAACTGCTGTGCCACCAGGGCTCCAACACAACAGCAACAACAGCTAGTGAATATAAACTCGAAGAATTCTCACACAAAATCACTAAGTTATCTTTTTCTCACATCATGTATTTATTTAGGAGGAAAGATGCTTGAATGTTAGCTAAAGGATAAGACTATTTTAGACACTGGGCAAATCATAAGTTTAAAAGTCCCAGCTCTAGACAAATGACTCAATGCAGCGATCCACAAAATGAAAAGCTTCTAAGCAGAGGTAGAAGGATACCGCTCAGAAACAAAGTGTTATTTATTAGGGCTAAATTACCCTTGTTTAGATGTGAGACTTTAAAAAATATTTTGATATAAGATGGAAAAATAAACCAACCCAAGAAAAAAATACATCTTAGTGAGCAATAGTTTCCTACATAAAAACTTGTATTTTCATTGCTTGACATTTGGTATACAGAATAATATTCCATATCTCACTGAGAATAAAAACATTGTCTGACTACTTCTGCTGCAAAGATTAGAAGAAATATCTCCAATATACTTGAAATATTTTTTAAAATATGTCATATTGAATAGATTTTTACCCCCTAGATATGAAAACCAAAGAAGATAGAACACTGATTAAGTCTGTTCACTAATTTCCTGAAAGGTAATTAATTTCCTCTTATCTTAAAAAAAATAGCCTCTATCACCTACTCTCCCAAGTCCCTTAAACATCATTATTTTATATTGATCTAGATTGTTAGAAAAATTAAAGTTCTTTAGCAAAAAGTCAACATTTAAAGTTTCATTAAGTATTGAAAATGGTGTAAAAAGAAGGCTCACAACCAAGTTATAAACTGGGAGATTAACCGAAAAGCTTACTGTTATAATTTGGAGTATTACAAAAATTTTTTGCCATTAAATGACAGAAAAAAAGCTAACAACTTATAACTCATTCCAGGATTGCCCTTTTCTCAAAAGGGGGAAAAAAAACCCAAAATCAAACAAGAACAAAATAGAAAGATACCAATATTGCAACCCTATTTAAAAAAAATAAATACAAAGTTGGTGTTTCAATTACATAGTTTTACTTTCAAATTATGGAACTCTGAAGGTTTTGGCAATTATGAACTAAACTGAAAACTGTGAAATGCAAAATATATTAAGATACTAATGTATGTTGGAGTCTTATACATTAACGAAAAAGGTTAAGCAAGGAATATAAACAAATAGCTCACTATTCTCAAAAAAAAAAAAGACATGTATGATCAATTTAATGAAAATGTGTACTTTTTAGGTGGAATAATTTAGGTCAAATTAAGACATGAATCTTCTAATCATCACTGTTTCTTCTGATGCAATTATTAGAACCATGTTACGATTTTTAAAAGACTATCAGTTTTAGACTTAAAAAGTAAAAGCAGGTCTTCTCTTAGGGTTCCTAATTCACAAATTCACTAGCTGAAGGACTAGGTGGTAACAAAATTCAACTCATTTTGAGAAAAATGTCTATTAATTGTTCCTCAAGATCAAGAACCAATATACGTTGATATAAAATCTAGTCTTGCAAAATTTGAGATCTGACTTCTCAGTGTGTGATGAGTTTACCTTTTTGTTTTTGGGCTAACAATAAAAATAATTCTAGCCCTTCTGATTGAATCATCTGAAGTTCAGATATGTTTTCTGAGTGTTAAATTATCTTCCATCTAAGACAGAGTATGTTCTCCTCATCTAGGCGATGGCCACGAAAGGACCGTATTCATTTCAGAAAGGAAACGAGCAGCAGGGAGCAGAGTTCCTTTGAACAGATTTTAAAAAATTTACATACATATGTATATAATTCTGAGATGTATATATTCACACACATATGAATACATGTGTAAATATATCTATCAATCAATCAATATATATAAAATATTCAGTTTTTCAGGGGAAAAAGATATTAAACTTTAATGGCATATGTAGATTTGCCAATATGAGACAAATACAGATTTAATATAATGACAGTATCAGGAAAATACATTGTAAAATGGTCCATTTAGAAAGGTTCTGCAAAGGTTCTATCAATCATTTGACAAATGTGCAGTTTTTAAATAGTAAATTGTACTAATGTGAAGTCTATGGAAAAGTCAACATTAGGCACACTGGGTACTGAGCCACCATAAAACTTTAATATTGGAAAAAGGAAAACTAATAGGTTTTGGAGTGGAAACACAGTAAGATATTGTCATTAGCTATTTACTTCCTTAGTTTTCATTCCTGTAGCGTAATGTTATGTTATGGTCTGAGACTGACTTCAGCACCTCCTGTCACCTCCTCAAAAGTCACTTTAAACCTGTGCTGTCCAATACAGTAGCCACCAGCCACATGTGGCTACTGAGTATTTGAAATATGGTTAGTACCACAAGTTGAAATAGTATTTTGGATATAGTAGGTTAAATAAAATACATTATTAAAGATAATTTCCTCTGCTCCTTTTTTCTTTTCATTCATGGGGATAGAAAGATGGCTGCTCCTAAATGCTCAGATGAAATGTACACCCTTCTTTGGAATTTCACACCAAAAGGAAAAATTTTGTTAAGGATTTCAAAACAATGTTAAACTTGCAAATTAAATCTAAGGTGTTGTTCTCCACTAACCAATTGTAAATCTGAGTTATATATTTCCCTGAATACACATTTTAAAAACCAATAAAATTTAAGTTATGAGACAACATATGAATTAAGTCAATTTCACAGTTATAAATATTTGAAATTACAGCTTCACACTATAAATTACAGGAAACAAAATTCAAGTAATAGAAAAAGAAGGGGGGGAAATAAAAGGTAAAGTTATTAAAGAGGGATACAGCAGTAGGAATTGCACCATTTGGATAATTTTGTTGAAAAGTTTTCACTTCATTAACTAAACTGCATGTGAATAATTTCAAGAGCTAAGAACTCTTATAATAAAAGGCAATTCTTTCTTTAAATTCATCATCTTCTTTGAAAAGCAAAAGTATTTTCTTCGACCCCAGCAGAGCCTGTTCCCCAAGTGGAGAGAAGCAGAGCCCCTCGGGCACATCACCCTGCGTCAGACCAGAACTGAAATGTGGACACAGGAGCTGGCAGTGGTGATCACATGATTAATTCACTGACTACGCATTGGCTCCGGGAAAGGTCAGCGGTAAAGCTCTGTATATCTTAAGATTTATTATTCATTTTAAAGAAAACATCCAATGGACTGGCATGAAGTACAGACTACAAACAGAAAAATGAGCAGCACAGGTCCTGCTACCTATCTTTATAAGGAGAGGGGAGGGGTTAATCCCAAAGGCAATTTAAATAATGGTATTTTATTTTTATATATAAATAAATGTTCTGAGCAATCTCAGACTTTAGTGCATTGCTGTAAAAAATTAGTGCAGTTTTTTTCATTAAAGATTTTAACGCTGAAGGAATAAGATAAATCTCTGTCTGTTCATAGTCTCTTTCACTGTACATTTAACTTTTATACTGCTATATTTCAAACGGAAGGTTTGTACACTGGTCTGCTTTTAAAAATTAAGGTAAATGGATTTCATGTTCTATGACAAAACATGGCAATCATTTTTGGCAAAGAAATTAGAAAAATATGAGATCATAGTTTAGAAATGAAGAGTTTGTTGATTTAAAGCATAGGCAATGCATAAGAAAAACTTTTCTTATGGATGTATTTTAACAGAACTTTATCCTTCATGCAAAATGTTTCCTCAGTAGCTAACTTAAAAAAATATTTCAGCTTTATTTGAGGATGGAGACAGTGACAGAAGTCAGGGTGAAGGGTAAAGGAGAGGTGCTTAACCAAGCCCACTCTATTTTCAAGTCTCTCTCACATAGGATCAAAGTGATGCCTGCAGGCATCTTCTGCACGCTCCTCTCTTTTTCCAATGTCTTGAAATTGAGAGGGAAAAGAAATGTAGTTATAAAACACTGGCTCACACTTCAGCTCCAAGTTCTAGTACCCCAGTTTCAATTATAGTCACATATTTATCATCAATCTGGACCAGAAGTACTGTCTTGTCGATGTGGGATCTAGTACCTGGATCTCTGCTGCAAGGCACCCATCGGTGAATCACCTAATGATGTAGAATAAAACAAGAAGTTAGTGGCAGAGACCTTTAATATAGTCACAAACTCTTATAGCTCACTTAGGATCAGCAGCAGCCACAAAGATGCATGATGGGAACGTTGATCAGTATCAATTCAAAGACTACTTTTAAGTCAAACTCACCAAAAGTGTAAGCATAAACTAAATTCTGTTGAAAATTTTTATAGAAAACCCCAATGAACAGGATGAGAAGTTAGTGGGAGAGGGGTTGCTGACTTCTTCTCCTAAAGTCAAAACAGATTTATACTGTGCAAGTAGAGCAGAACAGAATCTCCAAGGTATAAAATTGGACATTCATTATAATGGTCTACTGACTTCAGAATATATTCATCATTATTATAAAAATGTAATACTGAAATATATAAAATAATTATTTATACTTTAGATACGGTTTTACTTGCCTTGCAAAAGCCCTTCTTCTGCAAGTTTTCACGTTAGAGAAGTGCATATTTAAAGTGAACGTGTAAAAAAAATCCTCGTAGGCATCCATAGGTAATGTTTCTCCTGTATATATACCAAAGATTCTTTATTTAGATAATGGGGGAAAAGATAACGTGGAGGTGGGGAAGGAAAATTTTGCTTACATTTATTCTAAAAGGATTTCTCCAAGAAAAAAAGTATTTGCTAGGTGTGCCTAATAAGAAGTAACCTTTCCTGGTTACTTCCATGTGATTTCCATAGACTCTTCTCTCTTGGATTCTCATGCTGTGTTAATACTAACTTGGGAGCATATCTTTGGGTGTCAGGCATTTCTAAAGGGTTTAGGGCAGGGCTGTACAATAGAGATTTCTGAGATGACAGAAATGTCCTGTTCTGTCCAATACTGTAGCTACATGTGGCTAGTGGGTCTAAGGAACTGAATTTCAATTATACTTAATTTAAATTTAAATCATCACATGTGGCTAGTGGCTACCATACCGGACAGCCCAGGTTTAAAGACTCAAATCCAGTTGCCTCTAATTTCTAGAATTTATCAAAAGCCAATGATCTATGCATGCTAGCTCAATGCCATAAGGTACCTGACAATTTTTACTTTTTTTTTCTGTAAGATAGAGTATTTGAGAACTTATGGGAACAATGACCCTCTCTTTCAGGTGGGCTGAGGAAAAAAAACAGTGAAATCAAGGACTCTATCAAATTTTGGTTTTAATAAAAGTAACAGTGATTTGTGAAGCATGGCTCTTCCTTTAACAAAGGGAGTCAACTGGGCATAATCATCTATGTTACACGGAGGGCTAATAAGCATCATGATAGAAAAAATAAAAATACCAATTAGAAAGGATGAGTATAACAACGAAGAATCTTTAAGACATAAATAAGAAACACTGGTACTTAGCTTAGTAATAATACAACTAAGGCAAAAACTAAGGCTATAGCTATGTAATTAAATAAATAAACAAAACAAAGTTTTTTTTTTAAACAGGAATGCCAAGATCAAACCTGATAAACTGATTTGAGAATTAAACCTAAGTATGCATAAATTCAAGGAGAATTCAATTTATATAAATTTAGGTTTAATTCTCAAATCAGTTTCATCAGCTTTAATCTTGACCTTCCCTATTAAAAAAAAAACTTTCTTTTTTTTAATTACATAGTTACAGCCTTAGCTTTGACTTGACAGCACAAAACAACATATATAAATTACCTAAAATCATGCATACAAGTGAGTCACACTTTACAAAAATGTCAGAGCACCAGGCAGCTGGCTTCCTAAGAGAACTTACATGGCCTTCCATGCCTTCCTGAGGACTCCAGTCTTTCCAACTGTTTCTCCCAGCTTTTAACCGAATTCCTTCATCTGGCCACTGCAGCTCTTTCCTTTTTGATAGGTTGATCCCATCCAGAATTTGACTGGGATCCACAATCTATATTGTAAATAAATATGGATAATTTCCAATTCATTTCTTTCTTGATGATAAAGAATTATATAATTCTGAACAAAATTTCTTTGTGATTACGTCAAAGGACTCTGTGTCTCAAGTTTTCTGCTGCTTATACGGGAATAAAAAACTAAAGAGCCACCTCCCAAATTCCTTTTGGTCTACTGGTAGACCTTATTACAATGGCCACAACAGCTGAATAGTGACAACAGCTAAATGGGAAACAAATAGCACTACTGCAAAACCTGCTTGTTTTCAGTTTTTAAGTTGGCAGAAACTTTTTTTTTTAATATTCAGAAGCGTTCTAGTCTTCAGACTAAATAATGTAAGTTGTATCTTCACAAGAGCCCTTTATTCAACAAACAAAAGAAATGAAAACTAATGAGTAACCAAAATGGCACAGGAAGACTTCTGGGCTTACTCACTTGGACTCTGTAAACCACTTCCCCCATTTTGGCGTGTGAATTATTGGCAGGACTTAAGCTGCTGCCTGGCTGTGCATCAGTGGCACTACTCGGACCTCCGTCTGTCCCAAGAAAGCCCACGAGAGTGTGATGTTTGCAGGCTGGGATGCTTTGGCTGGAGCTGCTGGAAGAAGGAAGGCCGTGCTGCACACAGGCCAGGCCACTCTGACTGCAGGGTTCCATCTGGTTCACCACAGAGAGGCGGGACTGGATGGATGAAGGTAAGTTGCGAAGTGATATCTGACTGGTGGAAGAGCGCCGACAAGGCACAAATCCTGTAGTAGACATCCGGAGAGATGAATGCCGGCTACTATAGCAGTAAGAGGACTGGCTGGCTACTGAGGCCCGTGCAGGGGACTGTCTGACCAGGCTTGACTGTACAGAGTGAGAGCTGTGGCTGGTGCCTGAAGAGGGAGAGACAACAACAGCACACACTCACTTAGAGTGGGATGGTTCCAATACAATTCTAAGACTTTCTCCCTTAAGCAGTTTCTTGGTGAATTTATAGAAGCTAGCATTTATACCTAAAACATTTTTTTTTTTAGTATTCTTACATTTCTATCATTGAATTACTTAATTACATATATGATTCGTTTAGAATAATTGTATCTACATTAAGTTTAAAGTAACAGTATTTATTTATTTTTAATAATATTTTATTGTGTTTTCAGTGAAAGTTTACACAGCTAGTTAGGTTCCCATTTAACAATTACTACATATATTGCTCAGAGACATTGGTTACATTTTTCACAATGTTTTAACATTCTCATTAATTCCCTTTTGGATGTTTTGCTTCCAGTAATCTGGTTTCCCTGTCCTCTTACCCTTTCATCTTTGCTTTAATCATCGACCATTTGGCTATACCTAAAACTTTTCAAAGCTGTCAAACAGTAATAAATATCTGAGATTCGTTCCCTTGTGTGGATTTTATAATATAATTTTTATTTGTTGAAGATTTTTAAAATTCAAATTCTGGGCCATAAGAAAATACTAATTAAATAATTTATAGCAAACATCAGGATTTAAGTTTGGAATAAATCCTAAAATATCCTTCACAGAAATATTAAAAAATGACAAGAATATCTCTTTAATAAGTCAGAATGAAACATCTCATGGGAAGGAGTCAGTCAGAAATGTTCATTAAGCACCTACTATGTGGCAAGTCCTGTACCATTATTTCTCAAAGTATAGTATTACTGCCATTTCAATCTATTCCAATGACAAGCTGCACTGCTGATAGAGAGACAGTGAATACTACATCATAATTTTTATATGCATTAAGAAACTACTACTAAATATGAATTACCAGTAATACTGAACAGCAGGTTCTTCTGTGTCTTTTTCAAGTGGTTTGATATGATTCTTCAGGCTTATCTTTAGGGTAATTAGGAATAAGAGTAATTAGGGTAAAAGAGTTACTAGAAAATAATCATTAGGTATACTGAAAACATAGCTAAGAGGCTAATATTAATCACATGATTTTGCTTCATATTACCTAGTGCTGGAGGATAAGATGTGACAGGTGGATGGAGTCCTGCTCCTGTTCCTTGCCCTGGATTTCCAGTGCTTCCTTGGGGCACATTACTATGGGGATCATTGGCAGTTGTTGCATTGTTACTGGTGCAGGAAGTTCCACCTCCAGTATCAGAATCTTCAATATTGCCACCACTGTTACATCCAGCTCCACAACCTTTCCTTAATCTAGGAACAAACACCAGAACAGAGCATTAGTCTCAAGGTCACTTCAGTGTAGGGATTTTATCCTTTATCCAGCTACTCTGAATTGTTAATGCTACTAATATTCACCCCTGAAAATCTTTATGGTATAATCAATATTAAGAACAAAAAAGTCTGTTATATTCTCAAAGAATGGCTTAAGAACTATACCCCTCTAAAACCAAAACCAAAAACCAAACCTGTTGCCATTGAGTCAACTCTGGCTCATAGCGACCCTATATATCTCCCTTTATATTCACTGTCTCACTTTTTTCCAATCTACTTTACTCTGTACACTGTATCATCTTTCCTACAACATAATAAAGAACTGTATATAACACAGTTGTATCATTAAGGTCACAGCTGAAAATAGTATTCTTGCCCATGTCTGTTCAAAGACTCTGAAATATGCAACCCTGAAAACCTAATTTACTTATACTGTTGCTGTACCACAGCTGGAGAAAGATCACTTTTCCCCTTTATTTTTGAATCTCTATGTAGGATGACCAACTGTCCCAGTTCCCTCATGACTGCCCCAGTTTGGCACTGAAAGTCCCATGTCCCAGAAAATCCCTCGGTCAAAAACCCCTGGCTTGTCCTGGGCAAGCCAGGACAGTTGGGTACCCTATCTCTAGGCCATTTTCTTAGAGGGCAAAAACTTCACCTCCTGAAGGTAATTCCTATACAAGAGACATTTTTTTGAAAAAAAATTCTTTGAACACAACTCTGGTTTATGTTCTTCCATTTGAGAGCCCCTGATGTTAAAATGGTGGAACTTTAGTCACTAAGTGTTGGGTATTCCCAAAAGAATTTAAACACACTGACTTAAGAGAATTTCCTGCTCTAATCACCAGATTCTTTTTCTTAAGCTCTCATAATTCTAACAACATTCTGACCTTCCTCATTTCTCTTGGGTTCTATTTTAAGAATCTGAAGAACTCTCAGGAAACCAACAACTTTCTGTGAATTTTCTTCACCATCTACCACACTCTGATGTTTCTACATCATATATCATACTTTACTAGACAAAACACAGAGAAAAAAATTCATGTGCATATGTAAATACACTATATACTTGTGACTGGGGTGAGGAATGAACTATTAAAAAGGCAGTGGTATCTCTGCATGGCATAGCCAGGAGTTGCAGCATGTATGGGGTGCTCCCCCCACTGCTAGAATATAGCGATAAGACAGAAGAAAACAATCAACTTCCATAAGTTTCTTATGTTTTTCTCTTAGTTTGTTCTGTTTGCTGGCCCATGTACTTGGGCCAAAAAGTTAAGAGTGAACCATTCATAGTTAGCTACTGATCATTAAGTACAAGCTATGGTATTATTTTGCAACCCAGGAATCACAATAGAGTTAAGAAAAATTAAACAAGCAAACAAACAGGAACCATTCAAGATTCTACCAAACGCCAGAGCAGTGCTTCCTAAACAGAGTTGTCCATTAGATTTATTTAATAAGATTTTGAAGATAAAAATGCTCAGGTTCTACTTTCTGAAATTCAGACGTGATAGGTTTATATTGTGCCACGGCATCTATATTTTCCCTATGAGCTAATGCATACTACCTTGGTTAAGAGGGTCAGGATATAGCACCATTGAAAAACGCAACCCCATGACTCACCTGTGCCAGGTGGATACTATGAAGTTTCTAATATTTCCCAAGCTGATAGGTCCCCCAAGAATTTCCTTAAGCTGTTCATGGCTGTCAGAGTAAGAAGTTGTCAGGGGTGAGACAAAGATTGGGTAGCCAATGGGTTGATCACAAGATGAGTTTATCATGTTTCTCAGAGCTTGCTTTGCATTTTGGATGCTACCTCTCTCTGGGTTACGGTTACGCAGAAAGACAAGCTCCTGCTGTTGCCCTGCCCAGAGACCTCGGACACATTCCTTGTTCACCTGAAAACAAGAATACATGGGAATGAAGTTAAAGGGTCAAGAATAAAATTCACATAAACAGAAGAGCAGAAAAGGAAGGGATAAAAATTCATTATGATAACCAACTGTAAAAAGTAGGCAACGAATGTAAGTGGCTCACATTTGAATAGGAGCTAACCAATTTCCTTTGTCACTTATCAGGCTGGTAGATAATAAGCATCCATAGGGCTCCTTCCCTTGCTGTGTCTTATGAAAATATCAACTAAAATGTTGGAATCTATTTAGCTTTTCAAATTGAAGACGCATGAAATTTGTAACTGAGCTAATAGATATTTTTTATAGGAATGAGGGTAGCAAATATTTAGACTTGAAATGAGGTTTCTGACATTTATGGGTTGATTAAATGACATAGATTACAAAGTAAACTATTGCAGACTATAAAAAAAAAGTTCAAAATTAGCCTCTTAAAGTCTGAGATGTTTGGGGAAAAAAAACAAGGAAAAGTTAAGAGTGATCCGTTCACAGTTAGCTACTGATCACTATCAAGTACAAGCTATGGTATTATTTTGCAATCTAGGAATCACATCATATTAGCAATATAGTGCTGACATTTTAAGAAGAGATGCTGCCCAGATCTCATATATAATAGATAACACACTGTGTATAATGGATAAAAGACTGCCAAAACTGAAATAAGCAAAATTTCTAAGGCTTTACTGCACATGAGAAAAGTTCAGAGGACAGAATAAATTACTGACAAAATGAGTCAAAATAAGTCAAATTTGACAAAATAAGTCAAAATTATTATAAACAATAAACACAAATGTAGTATGGTCATTATTTCTTTTCATAAAAAAAAATTTTAAATCACTTTTTAAAGGTTCAGATCAAGATATTTAAGCTCCATTTTTTTCAGATACAAGGCCCTCAAAAACGTACTTGAATGACCCTGAAGCTAAGGTAGCGTCTGTTGAGCATGATGATTTTATATTCATTGGTGCCATCATCCATGACATGCCGCAAAGCAAGCAAGGAGGGAGAGTTGGCAAGGACTGCACTCCGCCATGCGGGATCCCCTTCGTGGGCTATTACAAGGTTTTTTTCATGAGACACAATGGCTTCATAGAGGACAGTAGGGTCATCATATTCATCTGGAGAAGTAAAATGATCCTAAATACAGAAATAAAATACATATACTGTTTTTAGGAAGACGAGAATGACTTCCAGGATGATTAAAAACTTGTATAGTTACTAAATAAAAATTCTTAACAACCAGTTTAATATGAATATTTCACATGAGCATATGTTAACATTATTAGAGCTAAATGACAGATTCTTAACTAACTATAACCCCAGGTTAGGAATTAGCTCATCACTGTTATAACTACTTCTGTATGTTCCTCAGTCCAACTCTCTAAGGTTTAGATAAATAGACATCATCTTCATTTTTACACATTTTGTTTTCTCATTCAAGTCGGTTTTTCCTATCTTCATTCATATTTATAAATATTTTCTTTTAAAGGATTATTTTGCTGTTATCAGTTTACGTAAAACGTCTCTAAACTGTGTTTCTTTTTAACTAGACACTTCGCGTAAAGCCACATCTCTAGAATGACTCTAATTTACCATTTTATCCTGCCCCTCATCTTTAAGAGTAGGCCTCAAAACTATGAGCTTTCAAGACAGATTTAGGTCCTAAAGGAGGGATCCCTGGTGGTGCAAACGGTTAACACGCTGGCTGCTAATGGAAAGGCTGATGGTTTCAGTTTACTCAGAGGTGCCTTAGAGAAAGGCCTGGTGATCTGCTTCCAAAAAATCAGCCTTTGAAAACCCTACAGAGCAGAGTTCTACTCTGACACACATGAGGTTGCCATGAGTTGAAGTGACTCAACTCGATGACAACTGGTAGTCCCAAATGAGCTAGTAAGGTCTTCCCTGAAAAATCTCTTGGTCTTAATAACTACTCATTCATTTGATTAATATTTATGCGATATCTTCCATAGGCAGAGGTCTGTAGCAGGCAGTATGAATGAAACAAAGAAGTATATGGAATGTATTCCCGTGAGAAACTTAGAAATTAATAGGTGATAGAGGACACATACTCAAATAACTATAACACTAATTTGCATTTTTAAAATGGCCTGAGTGTTAAGGAAATGCAAATATTCTATTGGCTACCTTTGTATTTATAGCTGGGAGGTGATAAATTTTTACATCCAGGTAAAGTAACTCATCTGTACTCAAGTCAACTGACTAGAGTATGTGCTCGCTGAAGGGGAAGGGAAAGAGTAAGAAGGATATAGCCTCTAAGTCTGGGGGCTGGGCTATATGAGAATGTAAGTAAAAAAGTTCTTCAATACATTCCAATACAAAGAAAATTTGACTCAAATTATCATGAAGGTTGGGCAAGTAATACCCACATTTTACACATATCAAAATAAAGCTCAAAGAGACTCAGCTGCTTCCTAGATTTAGACAGTAAGTGGTAATGCCAGGACTTGAACTCAGATTTTTATTAAAAGAGTATTTTTTCATTCCATTAAAAAAAATTTGATTATAAAAGTTAATTGAAAGAACTGTCAGGTCTAGGTGATGTGACTGGGGAAGGCTACACAATGAAGGTGTTCTTGAGTTGGGTCTTAAAGGAGGAATATAATCTCAGTGGATGGAGATGGGCAGTGTGAGTGAAAAGAAAAGGGCTCCAGGCAGGGAAACCTACAGCGGAAAAGCACAAAAGGTCAGTGAAGAGATAAAGACAATTATAGCATAAAGTCTCTTTGTGGGAACTGGGTACCTATTTCACTGCTGGGCATTGTGCGGGGCACTGCAAATATAGTAGTGAACGAGACAGACAGAAGCACTGCTCTCTTAGGCCTTACAGTCTAGTTCCCAGTCTTCTGAGAAAATAAGAAAACTAGCTTTTCGCCAGATTGTGAAGTACCCTCATTGGTGTCCCCTGCAGATTTCTTTTACTAAGCTGGTGCACTCATCTCTCCACTGCTTTGAGTGTTAGCTCCTAACAGCCCACAGCTGTTCTCCTAAGAACCGCCTTCAGCTGATGGGAGCTGCCTGGATAGGAAATGCTGGGGGATTGGTGTTATTCAGGCTCCAGAGCACCCTCTGACATCGGGCTGAGGTCAGAAGCCAGCTGAAACACACCTTTGCTTAGCTTCTTTCCCTGCTCTGTCCTGCTTCCATCACTTCCTTACAGAATTTTCTTGAGAGAACTCTCTGGATAAATCTCTTGCATTAAGAATCTTGGCCTCTAGCTCTGCTTCTAGGGAACCTGATCTAAGGTAACACTCATGACAAAATATGGATACGTGACTCTTGACTTTTGTACATTATACACCAACTCTCCTTTCTTTTAAATACTGAGTTCATATTTTCCTATACCAGCAGATGTCTAGATGTCATATGGTATGCTCTCTACTAGCAAACAGTTTCATTTGGAAAGGAATACCATTTTTGTATAGTAGCACTGGTGTTATTATTTGAATGAAAAATAAAAGTACAGACACACGCAATAATCACCTTCTTAAAAGAGACACTCAGATGGAAATCGTTAGGCATGGCAAAAGGGGAGAATGTTTAATCTTATTCAAGATTCTTTTCACTGGACAGAAGGTGGTTGAATGAGTACATAAAATTCTATGTACATTAGTGCAGCACTGTTTTAGTGACAAAATATTTTAAATACGCAGAATGCCCACGAACAAGGAAGTGGTTGAATAAATTGTGGTAAAAATTATGGAATCTGGAATACTATAGAGCCATTAAAATATATTAGGTACCTCTATATGGACTGACTTGGAAAGATGTCCGTGTTATACTAAATGAAAAAAAAAAGTCATTACAGATCAATTTGTATAGCACAACTAAAATTTTTAAAAGGAAAATATTTATATACATAGATGGAAATGTCTTAGGAACTTGTGGGGAGGAATCAGAAAAGAGATGCATCAAATTATTGGCAATGATTGCTTCTTGGGGGTATAGCAGGATGGCATGGGGTGATGGAAAGATGTTTACTCTTGGGTGGTTTATTTTTTTAATGTTTTTCAGTATTTTCAAATAAATAAAAAGAAATAATGATCCAGTTCTTCTGGGAAAAGTTCTGAGAAGCATTTTAGAAACATACTTTAGAAGCTACAAGGAGATGCACAGGATATATTATTTTTCAAAAACAATGAAACTCATTTGTTAAGCAAACATTTACTGGCCACCAAGCACTGTGCTAAGCAATGGAGGTATAAAGATTAATGAGAAATTATTCCTATCCTCAAAGAGATCACAGACTATAAAACTTTCATCATATATCATTTGTAAATCAGCCTTTGACTGATTGGTCTATTTCACCTCTAATAATCATGTGATTTCTCAGAGACTAATAAGAAAGGAAAAACAAGTAAGGAGGAAAGATGTTTTACAAAATGATTAAAAAGGGGACGAGAGAGAGCACAGAAAAAAGGCAATTTGCTTAATTCCTCTGAGTTTTGGTTAATCTTCATCTACAAAATGGGGTTAAATAACTCTCTGGGTTGGTGTGATATAATGTGATATCAAAGCACTTTATACAATTGTAAATATTACACAGATAGTAAGAATTTGGATTTCTAAACTCTAAGTACACACAATACTTCAGATTGATATTCTTTAGATATGAAATCTAAAGAAACTTTTGCAATAAATTTACATAGAATGGTTCCATGTAAAATTATATCAGATTTAGGTCATATGGTTCTATGGGGGAGAGAGAGAAGAAAAGGGAAAGGGAAAAACAGGAAAGGAAAAAGCAAAATTTAAAAATACACATGAAATGTTAAAAACATACCATCAAAGATTATGTCTGAAAGGCAAAAGGGGAGGTAAATAGAAATTTTATATTTTTAGCACTCTCAGACTCAGAAATCTTTTTTTTAAAGTTAAGCTTGAGGTATAATTTACAATAAAATGCACCCATTTTAAGTATACAGTTAGATGCATCTTGACAAATATGTATGCCCATGTAATCACTGCCATAGTCTAAATACAGAATATCTGCATCACTCCAAAAAATGCCTTCCTGCCCTTTGGCATTCCATCTCCACCCCTAACTGCAAGCAACCTCTTTCTACTTTCTGTCACTACAGATTAGTTCTGCCTGTTTTAAAATTTATACAAATAAAATCATACAGAATGCACTTTTTTTTTTTATGTCTGGCTTCTCTTGCCCTGCATCATGATTGAGCTTCATTCATGTTGTGGCATGTAACAACAGTTGGTTTCCTTTACTTGCTGAGTAATATCCTATCATGTGGATATACCAAAATTTGTATGTTCATCTGATGGGCATTTGAGTTGTTTCTGGTTTGGGGCTATTACGAATAAAGTTGCTTTGAATACTTGTGTACAGTCTTTGTGTGGACATATGCTTTCATCCTCTTGGGTAAATATCTAGCAGTGGAACTGCTGGGTCATATGGCAAGTGCATGCATAACTATTCTTTTTAATATTTAAGCCTATTGTTCACTTTTATGGATTTTCATGAGTACATGATGAAATTTGGAGATGATCAGCACTGATGTGTCTGTCTTTTCCAGGCCTGAGAGTTCCTCACAGGCAGCCCAATGTCCGGCTCAAAGTGATACTCAATACCAAACCAAACCCACTGCCGTCGAGTCTATTCTGACTTATAGTGACCGTAAAGGACAGAGCAGAACTGCCTCATAGGGTTTCCAAGGAGTGGCTGATGGATTTGAGCAGCTGACCTTTTGGTTAGCAGCTGACCTTTTGGTTAGCAGCTAAACACTTAACCACTGTGCCACAAGGGCTCCAGTAAGTGGATCCTTGATAAGTGGATGCTATTTGCTACTGTATAGGTCAATCTATGTCCTCCTAGAGGGCATATCAAATTACACGAGGGACTCCTTCAGGTTGCATTTATACCTGTCCTTACCCCCCACCTCCATTACTCCCAAGTTCCCAACTCCTCCTCATTCTCCCTATCACTGTTGTTGTGAGTCTCGGCTCACGATGGGAGTATGCTATAGCCAGTGTGTTGGGCCTGAAAACAAGGTAGAGAACTACTGGCATAGGCATTAGTGCCACAAGCAGAGGAACGTGTAAAGGAAATGGCCCCAGCCGCAATAGGAAAAAAGACTTGTATGGAATGACCAAAGGCAGAGACTTAAGGTTGGAAGCTACCATCATAGGCTTTGAACTCTGTACCAGGTGGAGACAAAATACCTGTCATAATGTTTAGAATTAGAAGATGTCTGTCAGAAGCTGTTACAAAATTATGCCGTATAAAAGACAGCATATCTCACACAGCAGATATATAATTGGCACCTTTTAAAATACTCTGTAGTTTCAGAAACATTTTCACCTGAAATCATTATCTTTTTCTTTTAAATTCATTGAATTTTGTCTCAAGACTCTAAAGCTAGTCTGAAAAATGGACAATTCTGTTTGATCCCAAATATTTTCCCCATTATCCTCAAAACCATTTTTCACAGAGATTTTCAAATAATATAACTTTCATTAGTAATGCTCTTAAAGTAACTCGTGGGAATTTAACTAAATTCCAGTACTTTATATTGCATTAAAATCATTTAAAAAGTAATTGACAGTTTATTTGTTCAAGTCAATCAGACTTGAACACAGCAGACGCATTTTAATGAGTCTTATTATGTGGTCTCTATTATCAGATCTGATCATTATTTTCAAGTAGAATGATTAGGGCAGCAAGTGCCAGTATTTAACTTAGCAATATATTCTTGAAATGATCTAGGTCTTCGCAAATACATTTCTGGGCCTCATTTTAATTTTATTACTATACTAGGATTATTTAACTAAGGCTAAATCTGTTCTAACCATCCTTTACTCTACATAACATGCTAAATGAAACTTAAGATTCCATAACAGCAGCCTATTTATAACACTCCTAAACTGTTGCTACAGTGCATTTGGAGTTGGCCAGCATTCATGTAGGGAAGATGCACGAATTGCAATCACATGAAAATAAACCTGTTGCTGTTAAGTAGATTTTGACTCACAGCGACCCTACAGGAAAAAGCAGAACTGCCCCATAGAGTTTCCAAGGCTGTAAATCTTTACGGAAGCAGATTGCCACATTTTTCTTCCATGGAGTAGCTGGTGGGTTCGAACCTCAGACCTTCTGGTTAGCAGCTGAGCGCTTAACCACTGCCAAAGACCTTTATCTCCGGCTTGCCATTGCTTAAATTTTTCCTGAAGTTATTACTGCCCAAGCCAGTCACCCTCTAATATTCAAATTCACTGTTAGAAACATAGGTTCAGGCTTCTAAGATTTAATATCTTGCCATGAATCAGGTTTTTCTTAATTTCAGATCAGAATTATTTCTCAAAACATTTCTAAGAAACATATAATTTGGAAGGTCAAGTGAAAAATGATCAGTAAAAACCAGTAATGAATTAGAAATCTCATCTTCTTACCTGATGAAGTTTAATGGACATACGGATTCCAGGGACTACCACTTTTCTTAGCAATTCCATGTCAGCAAAGATCCATTCATCTCGAATTGAAGAAATACGGAAATCGCCCTTAAATAGGGCATGCAATCCATAGAGGAATGATTCTAAATTACTGTTAAGATTGGAGATAAAGAGTCACATATTTTGACAGTGAAGTCTTCCACTACACTGATTTTTACAGTTGGTTGTGCATCAGGATCATCTAGGAGCATTTTGAAAATAGAGATTCCAGGAACTAATGTCAGAACTCCTGAATCAGAATCACAAGGGATAGGGCCTGTTTGACCTGGGACCCTTGCTTATGAACACTGTAATACTAAGTCCATGAAAATAAACTGAAGATAAAGAGTTTATAAATTAATATAAAAAAGGAGTGCCTAATGGAAATCATGTAGTAATCACAGAAGAGACTTAAAACATCAGCTGTTTCTTATTTCTAATTCATATGAATGCGTATGTCAAGAAATTCAATTTGTATTTACAGTCCCAAGACTTAATGTACAACTATTTTAGACAAAGGCTTTTGTCTAGAACATTCATAATTTTAAAATAGTTGTACATTAAATGAGAAAAATAAATGTGAATGGGAGATCAATAAAATTTTATGGTATGACTATTTTTTTAACCATCTTAAATCCATTAAATTCTCATCAGTAGTCACCTACACACAAATGTGTGAATTTTAAAAGCCAGTTCTGTTAACCAGCTAATAGAACTCAACTATGTTCAGCAAAAAGATCTAAAAATATCAGAATCTAAAGAAACTTTTGCAATACATTTGCACAGAAGGCTTCCATGTAAAATTATGTCAGATTTAGGTTATATGGCTCCCCATATTCTCTTCCTGAGAACAGAAATGCCTCCCATACCTAGACATATGGTGGGAGGCAGTCCCCAAAGCTCTCCGTCCCAGAACACAGAGTCCGTAACACAGAGTCACCAGGGATGAATCTTTGTCCACATCCAGGGGCTTAAAAAAAAAAAAGTACATTAGTTATCAGAAAGGTAGATAAGTATTTAACAAATCAGAAGTATCTATTTAATAAATTAGAGAAAGGATAAAGAACTCAATTACAGCATAATTTCTATCTCTTCAAATAAAAGCTCCAATGAAAATAAAGTTAGCAACAAAACAGCATAAAATAAATTATGAGTTGTAATCTTAAAATAAAATCCAATACTTCATATTACTGGAATATAATTTTAAAAAACCTGGCTGTATTATAAAGTATTAGGATCTTAGCTAAAGATCTCATAGCAGTTCCTGGTATACTAATTTCAGACATTGTATTATCCTTAAAATATAACATTCAACGAGTTGTGTCTGGCCATAACCTCGCAGGCAGACTGTTAGTGACAGCTGTATCATCCAATCTATAACACAGTAAAGAAAATCAAATTGATGTGTACAGAACATTGCTTCTCCTTAACATTTTTTTCTTTTAAAACAGCCACATGCCTTGACAATTGAAGAAAGATGGTAGATCTCCTCTCTTTCCTGCCATAGGAGAGCCCAATAATAGTCACTGATATGAAAGTTAACAGAATGTTTCATCTTGTTATAAATACTACAGAAAATCTTGGTAGTATCTCAGTTACTGAGAAATAATTTAGGGCAATGGTTCTCAAAGCACAGTCCTAGGACCACCAACATTAGAATCTGGCAACTTGTTAGAAATGCAAATTCTTGGGCCACTCCAGACCTGTACAATCAAATTCTGGAGCTGGGAGCCCAGCAATCACCCCTCAGGTGATTCTAATGTTAGCTAAAGAATCATTGATACAGGTTAATAAAGAGCTTAACTATTCTAATTTTGTCAGTGATACATCTTTTTGGCCTTGTAAATCATTTCACTTATCAACAAAAAGGGGGCAAAGATATTATTTAATATTGACTGGTCAATTTAATTAACAGACATTAATTTGGTTAACTGTGATTATAAGAGTATTTTAAAATTTAACTTAATTTCATGTAATAAATGTATGCCTACAAACAAAAAAAGTGTGTAAGAGATACCTAGAGGCTTGCCAATTAGACTGTTTCCAAAGATATATTATCTCTTATAGCATACATCCTAGTTTAATCAAACCGAATCTCTGAAAGAATTTTGGCTCCACCTTACAAAACAGTAAAGAGTATGAAAGCACTTGTTTTAAGAAATGGGAAAGAAAAAAAGAGAGTATGTGAGTGCCAATTTGAAGATATATAAACAAAAATACTAAAAATGATAAAATTATGGGTGACTGTTTCTTCATTCTCCCCTGCCCCTGCCAACTTTCTACGATGAAAATGTTTTGCGTTTTATGAGAAAAAAAAATTATAATTTAGTTCAGGCTCCTGCTTCTCATCAAGATGGAGTAAGAGAGACCAGATTTATCCTCCCACCTGAAGCAAAGAACTGTACACAACATGTGAAACAATGGTTTGCAGACACTGGACATCTAGGAGGGCAGGATGCTAATCGCTGAGTGACTGGAAACAAATGAAATGAGCTTTATGATAGACCCATCTTATTGCCTAGAGTTTCCAGGCTACAATGCAAGTAGCCAAGGTGGAGCCTAGAGGTCTCTGAGTTGAGGAGACAGCTGGGAGTCTGGGGAGGTCAAGGCAGGCAGAGTTCACAGGGCAAAGTACCACAGAGGAAAGAGATGCAGAGAACTCCAGGGATCTGCAGAAGGCTCCCCCGAGTCTTCATCTGAGTACTGATCAACACATGCAGCAAGGACGCAAGGTTGGGAAAAGAATCACCAGAAAGTGACAATGTAAAATCTCGTGCTTGGCTACAGTACTCAGAAGTACTAGCCTCAGTAATGGGGAAAATTTAGCTGTAGACTAACGGCTGCTCTGATCTTTCCTTCTAATTTGGCATTCCAGGTAATTTTACTACACTAGGAGTTGGAATCGATGTGATAGCAGTGGGTTTGGTTTGGTTTCGGTTTAGGATCACATTTATGAGTTGAACTGACTCGACGACAATGGGTTTTTTTTTTTTTCCAGGACCACATTTAGAAAAACATTATTTCAACATCTTTAGAAGATATATTTGGCTAGTATATGGAAAATTATTGCCTCCTAGCATACATAGCACTTACTGATGAAGATCAAAAATTATACCCTTCAGTATGGATTGTACCTCAAAAATCCTCACAACTGGACCAATAAGCAAAATCTTGATAAATGGAGAAAAGATTGAAGTCAAGGATTTCATTTTACTTGGATCCACAATCAACGCCCATGGAAGCAGCAGTCAAGAAATCAAAAAACGCATTGCACTGGGCAAATCTGCTGCAAAAGTCCTCTTTAAAATGTTAAAAAGCAAAGATGTCGCTTTGAGGACTAAGGTGCACCTGACTAGGGCCATGGTATTTTCAATCACCTCATATACATGAGAAAGCTGGACAGTGAACAAGGAAGGTCAAAGAAGAATTGACGTCTTTGAATTATGGTGTTGGTGAAGAATATTAAATATACCATGGACTGCCAAAAGAATGAACAAATCTGTCTTGGAAAAAGTACAGCTAGGACGCTCCTGAGAAGTGAGGATGGCAAGACTTCGTCTCACATACTTTGGACATGTTATCAAGAGGGACCAGCCCCTGGAGAAGGACATCATGCTTGGTAGAGGGTCAGCGAAAAACAGGAAGACACTCAACAAGATGGACTGACACAGAAGCTGCAACAACAGGTTCAAGCATAACAACGATTGCAAGGATGGCAAAGGACCAGGCAGGGTTTTGTTCTGTTGTACACTGAATCGCTAAGAGTTGGGACTGACTCGACAGCACCTAACAAAAACATATACAACATATACAGCAAAACATGCAAAATCTGGAACCTGTGTATGGCAGAAACGTGTCAGAGAAGGAAAACGCAAATATTTTCCATTAACAGAGAGTAACAGAGAAGTGGTAAGCTGCACCCTGTTAAAGGCAGAAAACTTGAGAGACCCAGAAAAACAAGGCAATCTTGTCGAGTTCCAGCTCTCATATATTTCACTGTAATTAGAGAAGAAGGAAATATGATTTTTAAGATTTCTGTGTAATGTGAAATTTCTATTTAGTGTAGAACACCATTTGGGAAGTAAACCTTGGAAAAAGAGTTTTGAGGCAACTTTCTGACATTTAGGTAAGGGCACCAGAGCTTGGAGTCAGCAAATCTGTCTAGCTTAATTAAAAACTCCCCCAGGAAGAGGCTATTCTGGGAATGGTGACTCAGAGAAAAGAATGCATGATTTTAAGGAGGTAGGGACAATCGATTCTGATTTAAAAGAAAAACTAGAATGGCTGCACAACATGATGAAAGTGGTAATTAATATCACTGAACAGTACATGTAAAAAGTTTTAAGAGTATATAGCTGGAAAAATACAACTGATAACTTTTCTTCCAAAGGGGATTATTATTATAAGAATTCTATTATATAGACTATAAGCCTGACTGACCTAGTAATAATAAGCCATCTGAAGAGACCCCATCTGAAGAGACTAGGGATATCCAAGTTTGGAAGCAAACTTTTTGAATATATGACTCAGCCACTACAAGGATTTCCTCAAGTGACGTCCATGACCTCAGGAATAATCTCTAAGAGAAGGGTCCTTAAGGTTAGGAAAGATGGATTCCTGTCCTGAGTGGGAAGAAAATGAGTTCCTAGCCCAGGTGACCATGATAAAAAACAAAGCTAAAGTGGCCAGTATCATCTGAGCCGGAGAAAGGCTATTAGAATAATATGACCGTGCCCCTCAACAACCACAACAAAAATACAAGTCTAAATCATTCCAAGTATATTTCATTTTTGAAAAAGTAAAACTCCTTGTTATAGGTTTAGAAGCAGAGAAGTTTAGTCCTGTTTCTGAGCCTCTTACGAGGTTCTTTTATCCTACTCTTTGTCCCTTATTAAAAATGTCCTACTCGACTGAGTCAATATTATTGTGCCTCTAGTACAAAGCTAAAAAGGCCATTGTTCAGAAAGGAAGTACAAGGATGCTCCCTTTCTTACTGATGAAGAAGGGAGACAAGAGACTGATTTGATAAGGTATCTTACTCTAAGTAGTTGCAAAGGAAGGCATAAAGCAAGTGCTAAACCTAAAGGTGGTCAGTGTATACATCCCAGACCATGTTAAAAGGTACTGGTTGTCAAGGTGATCCATTGTGCTCCATGACACAAACCTTGTACATGGGATGCTGGTGGTTCAACTGCACAAGGCTGTGGCTTGGAAAAGGAGCCCTGGTGGTGCAATGGTTAAGTACTCTGCTGTTAACCGAAAGGTCGGTGGTTCAAACCCACCAGTGACTCCTCAGGAGAAAAGACCTAGTGATCTGCTCCCAGAAGACTACAGCCTGCAAAACCCTAAGGGGCAGTTCTGCTGTGTCCTATAGGGTCACTATGAGTCAGAATCGACTCAACAGCACACACAACCACCATGGCTTGGAAAGCAACAATGGTGATAGGGATTAGGTTTGGGAACCACAGGCCTTAGTACTGTGGTTACTTTATATACAGTCTGGTCAGGGGGCCAATTATTCCACGAGAGCCATGAAACCTAGAAGGAAGTAGTAATAGGTCTCACCTCACCTTTAGGAATGAGGAATTTAGGAACGAATAATATACCAATGCTTCTCAAAGTGCTGATGGGAACAACCTGAATTAAAATTACCCAAGGTGCTGCAGATTTTGGGGTTGCAGCTTAGACCTACTGACTCAGAATCTCTCAGGGGAGGCCCAGGGATCTGCATTTTTACAAGTTCCTAGGTTATTTTTACCCACATTAACACTGGAAAATCAATGGTCTAGACCTACACTGTCTAATACAGTAACCGCTAGCCACTTGTAGCTATTAAATTAAAATTAAATAAAATAAAAAATTCAGTTCCTTAGTTGCACTAGGCATATTTCAAGTGTTCAATAGCCACATGTGGCTAGTGGCTACAATACTGGACAGCAGAGAACATTTCTATCATTGCAGAAAGTTCTATTAAACAGCACTGGTCTCACTTTAGACTTGGGAAAAAGATATTTAATTATCTTCAAGTCTAGGTGGGCTCTCCAAAATCTAGTCTTTAAGAAGGCATTCTATGCTATTTTAATTTGGGTGTGCATGTGGTGGGGAAGGAAGGCTACTTGAACAGTGAGATTGGGACGCTGACAATGAAAGAACAAAGAAGGTCACTTTTTTAAACCTGTTTTTGGCAGAGTTGGTTGGTTTGGTCCAACCACAATGAACCAGAAGATCAGAAAGAACTGACCACATAACAACTAACAGGGATATCCCTTCCATCTCTGAAAAAATCCGGATTCAAAGACTTGTAAATGATATCAACTACCCCTACCTTTGCTCTTCGAGAAGAGCAATACTCTATCCAGTTGAGGTAAATCACACAGAAACTCTCCCTGGATATGCCTGCTAGTCGATGGTCATAGTCTTCATCAATGTTTGGATTAAACGTTGGGTCCACATCAACATAATTTCGATCTGCGCAGAGACGTAGTCCTTCTTGCATTGTCTCGTTCGCTAGCCACTCCTCTAACTTAGAGGAGGTTGTAACATAATAAATGATACCCTAACGTGGAAAAGATTTTGAAAAATTCAGGTTAAATCACAATTTGAATTAATTCTAATGCCTCAGTAAAATAAATTCAGATTGTGTCTGCCGACAGGGTAGCTCAAAAAATATTTCATTCTAGCTCAATACTATATGTATACATTTTAAGAATGCTGTAACACTATACCTCAGGTCTTCCTGGATTAAAAAAAAAAATTTAATACTTTAAAATCAGAGCCATAAATTCAGCAAGGCAACTTCAAAACAATTCTGATCTGCTGATTTAACAGCTTCTGAATTTAGCATATTTTAAGCAAGATGAAAAGCTTTGTTATAGTGCATCTATTTGGGAATTTCTCATAGAAAGTTATTAAGCCATCAGGTGATGCTAGTCAGGGCATAAAAATATAGCTAATGATAAAGTAATATATAATATTTAGAACTAGATATAGAAAATGCCATACAAACACTCATACATGTCAAATATGTTATAAAATCAATCTCTTTAGCTTCATGGGGTTGGATTTAGCCAAACATTCAATGCAAGAATCAAGCTTTTAGCATGAATAAGGTAGTATGTGAGGTAATGATGCAAAATATGGAAAATTTAGGCATGGGTCATTAAAACTTAGCACAGGTTTTCCTCTTGAAAGTATCGACTTCAGCTGGAAGTCCCAAAATCACAGCCATGCTGTATTTCTGTAAAATCGTTAGCAAAATAATTCATTAGAATAGCCGCGCAATAAAGGATTAACCTTGCCTAAAGTCTGCCCTTTGCCCTGCACTCCTCTGAAGTAACCTCTGTTGTTGTTGTTAGTTACCACTGAGTTGGCTCCAACTCATGGTGACCTTATGTATAAGTTGTCATACAGAACAAAATATTGCCAAGTTCTGTGCCATCTCCATGACTGTATTTTGAGTGCCTTCCAACCTGGGGGGGCTCACCTTCCAGCACTGTATTGGGCAATATCCTATTGAGATCCACTTGGTTTCCACTGGCTAATTTTCAGAAGTAGATCACCAGGCCTTTCTTCCTAGTCTGTCTAATCTGGAAGTTTTGCTGAAACCTGTCCATGATGGGTGATCTTGCTGGTATATTTGAAATACCAGTGGCATAGTTTCCAGCATCATAGCAACACACAAGCTACCATAGTAGAATAGATGAGTGGTAAGACGTAATCTCTAAACCCTTGGAATGTCCTGCCTGATAGGAATGTCTTTGTTTCCCTGAAGATCTTGGGCCATGCCAATTAGTCCATGCTAACAGTGTGACTTCTGGTGGGGGGTCCTGGGTCAGGCAGTATCAACTTGACCTCTGGAGGGGCTAGAGACTAAGGTCAGCCACATGGTCAGTCAACCATGTCTATGGGACTAAGCCTCCAGTAAAAACTCTGGACACTGAGGCTTGTGCGAACTTCGCTGGTTGGCAATATTCCATGTTTGTGGGCACACATCGTTGCTGGAAGAAGCAAGTGCTGTCTGCACAACTCCACTGGGAGACTATAACTGAAGCTCAGTGCCTTGGTGTCTCCTGGACACTTCCCTATGTGCCTCTTCCCCTGGCTGATTTTAATAGGAATCCTTTTGCTGTAATTGCAACCATGAGCATAGCAGTATGGAGTTCTATAAGACGTTTTAGCGAATTATTGAACTTGAGGTTAGATTTGGGGACCTCCTGAACTTTGCAATACCATCATCCAGTTTAATGAAAGCAGTGTAAGGCAGTGGTTAACAGCACGGGCTTAGTTAGAGGACCCTGGGTAAGTTAACATCGAATCCTTAAGTTGTTCACTTGTAAAACAGGGAAGTAATATTCCTTCTGAGAATTATGCACATAGTGTGTGTAGAGTGTTTAGCACAGTGTCTAAAACAGATACAAATGGTAGCAATTATTAATAGTTAACAAATGGAATAAGCTCCAATAAAGCAAGAAACCACAAGACCTTCACAGGTATATTTTACTAAGTTTTCTGGATACTAGAGAATTTAAGTCACTGTTTGGAAGCAAAGCACAAGTAAAAAAGAATATATGTATGTATATATCTTTCCAAGAAGAGCCTCTGATTATCAGAAGATCTAAGTAGGCACATACTATTACCTTAACATAGTAGGTGGTGAGAACTTTCCGAAGATCAAAGACTTGAAGCATAGACGCAGCACTATTGTCAGTGATGCTATAACCCTCCAGAATATATTTAGTGACTATCACTTCCCAAGCGAGCCAGCGCTGGCTAAATGCAGCATTAAATGAAAGCACATGAGGAATATGGCCAGGTTCACAGCAGCAAAATCCTTCATCCTCCTCTACGCCCTCAGTAATGGCCTCCACTTCCCGTTGTTGACAGTAAGTACCTTAAAGAGAGAGAACACGCATTAAAAACGAAGGGAAAAAAATACAATATGGAAAAATGAATGCTTCAAAGACACAAGGTATTTAGAAAGACACATTTTATAGCAATTGAAAGTATATAATTGCTATGTCTTAGAATGTTCATTAACAAACTGCAGCAAACTCCAGAAACGAAGCATACTACATATTCATCTCCTGCAGAATCACAAGAATTTGTGTAGTAATGTAACCTCTTTAATTTTGACTCGCTGATTCCCAAACTTTTCATATTTGGGTTTAGAATTGCGTTTGTATCAAATGAAGGCAAATCAGTAAAGGTACATCTTATAAAGTCTTGAGTCATCTCAGAAAAAAGAAGAGTCGTGTGACAACTAAATTATCCCAGGGCACACGAGAATAAAGACAGACTTATGCAAAACTCAAAAGAACTGGAGCTATTTACTAGTATCATGTTCATGCTGCAAGCAGAAATATAATATACATCCTATTTCTTTGGATGTACTAACTTGTAACAGTTAATTATAATTTTATATTAAACACATACTAAAAAAATTTCTGTTCCCAGTTCTGACAATGATAGGATAAGATTGCATCACTGACATACAGGAGCCCTGGTTGCCCAGTGGTTAACAGAAATATATGCCATGAAATCTAGCTCCAGTTGGTGGTGGAGGTACACTGAAACAAAAAGCTGGAGACGTAAGCTTGGCCAAGCAAAGGAGCTGCATTATTTGGTACTCTAGAACACTCAACAATTTTATTATTTTCATTTTCTTAATTACACTGGCCAATACTTCCAGAATAATGTCGCATAGTGGTGATAAGAAACACCATGTCTTGTACTCACATTAAAAGAAATATCCATTATGGTTGCCCACTACATATGATACTAACATACATACATATACATTTTTTTCCATATAAATCTTTTCTTTCAATAAATAAAGCATATTTTAATAGCTTCCATTTTAAATCACATTTACAGACGAGGAAAACTTCTAGGCTCAACTAGGTAACAGCGAAGCTACTACAGCTGGAAGGAATGCATGTTCCACATGTGTTTTATACCTAAAACGCAGAGACTTGAAGGCAGAGAACACCAACACGTCACCCTCAAGACTAGATAACTGGAGCTAGAAAGAGCAGAGGACCCAGTGAAGTTCATGCAACCACCGTCTGATCCCCTCACCTTCATGCTGCAGAACCAACTGAAAGTTGTGCTGCTCTTAGATGAACTAGAGGGAGGTTCCCAATCATTTTAACTGAAACTTGTTCCTATTGGTAACAATTAGGCCAAGGGCATTGGCTACAATAGGGTATTTCATTGATAAATACAAAACAATATTAGAATAGCAAAGAGGAGTTTACATAGATAATCTTGGTTTTTCAAATATCAGATACTTCCATACCGTATCAGTAGAGGAGCAGAATGAACTCCACCTACAAAACGCTTAGTCCAGAAAAACTTTATGTTGGCACTGGCACCAAACAAGGCTCCCCTTGTACTTCTTGCATCATCTGCTGGGCTATGAAATCCAGCTCGGTTTCTAGGGTGCTGGAAATCTTTATTTTACAATCCCCATTATAGATCTCAACACCACCAGCTACATCCTCAGGCAGTCAGCCCTCCTGATCAATTTGGACATCAACGTCTTTTTTGGTGGCGATTTTGTACATAGGGATTACTTTTTGCACTGAAGCCTTTAGAAGAGGGAAATCCTGTTTCCTGCAACGAACAATCATTCGGGGCTCAAGCAACTGGTAGAAACCCTAGAGGATCAGTCCATCCAGCAGCATTTGGTACCTGGCTGTATCTTTTACCACCTTGCTGAGTCTCTGTTTTGCTTCATTTAGTAGGTCTGTGGTAAGGTCACTTCTCACTCTGAGGACTTTCAGTCTTACTTGATTCGTCAAATTGGACATGTGAATTTTCTTCTGCTGCTCAATCTGTTTTTCCTTCTTCTCATAGTATTCTATAATTTTCAGTCTTTGGGTTTACACAAGACGACCTTTCTCGATGTTGAACTTCTCTTCTGCCTTTGCATCTATTTCTTCTGCCTACTCACTGGCTTCTTGTTCAATGAAAGCCACCATGTGCTCAATCTGCTTTTGCATGTCAGCATCGCTGAAGGGCCACGGTGAAAGCACTGCTAGGTCGGTGGACTCGAGTTTAGGTTTGAAGGGGGAGATGGAAGGAATGGGAGAGCCACATACATTTGTTTCAGCATAATAAAGATGTACACATTTTATAAAGTATTTTAAAAAACAATAATGGAAATGAAATTTACTCAAATGTCTCCTAGCACCTTTTGAGAGGATTGTATTCTATTGTTCATCTCCTGTGACCTATTAAAATAGAATGAATTTTACTAATTTGTTTTCTAATATTTAGCTTAATATCAAAAGTGAAAAACTGGCTGCAATGGTGAGGGGTACTTAAAAAAAAGTACTGCTGGTTTCACCTTATTCTGGGTTCTGAGGATTTTTTCATCTACAGTTGTAAGTGAAATGAAACTATGATTATTTTTTTATGCCAGCCTAGTCATATTCTGACATGACTATTACACACTGGTTTTGTAAAAATCCTTGAAAAAATTTCCTTGTTTATCCATGTGCTACAATAGGTAAGAGGGCAGGAAAATTATCCAACTTCTAAAAGGAACTTCTTGAGCCTGTTTTTTGTTTTTTAACTGTAGCATGATGTTCTGACAATTCCTTAAGTTTTATGTGTTATTACTTCATCTTATTCACTTTGGTCACTTCAAGCATGTTCCTATACTGTCATCTTTCTGGGACGTCAGTCAAAAGTTTTTAAATAGAAGAAATAACATAATGAGAGCTACATTTTGTACAAATCATTTGTTAGTAGTATACAGAAAAGAAATGCAGCAAGAGGGAACTTGGAGGGTCTGATATTTATTCAGAAGAGTCAGAATAAGGTCCTTGTTCAGAACAGTGGGACTCTGGTGGTGAAGTGGTTAAGAGCTACGGCTGCTAACTGAAAGATCGGCAGTTCAGAGCTACCAGACGCTCCTTAGAAACCCTATGGAGCTGTTCTACTCTGCCCTGTAGGGTCGCTATGAGTCGGAATCAACTCGACAGCAGTAGGTTTTGGTTTTCAAGAGTAGGAGAATAAAGTAAACGTAACTGAATTAATCCAGGATGCTTTTACTCCACCATAAAAAACTAAAACATAACAAACCATGATTCTGACTGATGGTCACCCCATGTATGCAGAGTAGAATCGTATTCCATAAGGTTTTCAAGGCTGTGATCTTTTGGAAGCAGATAGCCAGGTCTTTCCTCCAGGTGCCTCTGGGTGGGTTCGAACTGCCAACCCTTCAGTTAGTAGCTGAGTGCTTAACTGTCTGCACCACCCATGGACTACTTTACTCCACTATACTGTTTCTAAAATATTTTCCACCCCAATATATCCAAGTAATACATTTTACTCAGAAAATTAAGTCAACAATAAGTACAGGAATTAACATTAATAACTAAAAAGAGTTCTGAGACTGGAAAGGGATACTAGAAAATCTATGAAGAATTATTATCAATTGTTCCTGGAATTGCTAGAATCTTTCGGTCACTTCAAGTGAATATTATGGATAAAAATAAACAAAACTAGCAATCATATAAACTAGACATGTTAAAATTAATTTGAGTAAAAACTGAAAGGAATCCAATTAGCATAACAAATTTTTGACCTGTAAAATTTGACCAGGAAAACTGCACTTGGTAGAAGCAATGGTTACAAATAAGAAGTTAACACAATAGAAGCCTTAATAAGAAAATTTTGATGTAGATAGAAAACTGATAACAAATCTTTGATATAAAATTTACATGGAAAAGAACCTTGAAAATAATATCAGTAAAATAAAAATGGAAATGAAAAATACTGAAATAGCTTAACCATGACCTACAGAAAACTGATCAAGAAGTTTGTTTAGTTAAATGTTGCTTAAAATTGAGTATCTACCACAATAGACAAATATAAATCAAAGGAGCTAAACTGGTTTAATGGCTTAATGGAGTATGTCCTAGAAAACACATCAAAATGTTCAGCAGATCCAAACATCTATGCCTGGCAAAATCTTGACAATTAATAGTTTGAAGTGTGGGATATGGATGGAACATGGGGTAATACTGTGAAGAAAATACAATTAAAAATATCATATCCACATTTGAGGAAAAAATATAATCGTATCTCATGAGAATTCTGGTAGAAAGGAGAAATGATTACATTGTTTAATCATTCTACAACATTAACTATGTATTATATACTAATGACTGGGATAGGTGCTGGACACCTGAATAAATGTGAATGAAGCACATGTAATTCCTGTTCTTGAGGAGTTAATAGTCCAAATTGCTGTTGCTATGTGCTGTCAAGTTGATTACGACTCATAGAGACCCTATATGACAGAGCAGAACTGCCCATGGGGTTTCCTAGGCTGTAATCTTTATGGGAGGAGATCGCCAGGTCTTTTCTCCTGCAGAGTGGTGGGTAGGTTTGAACTGCCAACCTTTCAGTTAGCAGCTGCACACTTAACCATTGTGCTACAAAGGCTCCTTAGAGTTTACAGTAAGGGTTGGTGAACTACAGCCCTGAGCTAAACCCAGGCCCAGCAGGTCTTTTTTTGTTTGGCAAGCTAATAATGATTTTTGTATTTTTAAAGGATTGTAAAAAAAAAAAAAAAAAAACAAAACAAGAATATGTAACAGAGACTGACTGGTTTCGGATTAGACTATTGTGATCCATAGAGTTTTCAGAAGTAGATCATCAGGCCTATTCTTTCTAGTCCATCCTAGTCTGGAAGCTCTGCTGAAACCTGCTCAGCATCACAGCAACATGCAAGACTCCACTGGCAGACAGGTGATGATGGCTGCACACGAGGTGCACTGGCCAGGAATAGAACTTGGATCTCCTGCATGGAAGACGAGAAGTCTACCACTGAACTACCACTGCCCCCTGCAGTGTTGTAGGCCATGTTAAAAGTCTGAATGGTATTTTATATGCATAGGAAGCCATTGAAAAATTTTAAGCATGAGAGTGACATAATCAAAACGGCATTTAAAAAAAATCACTATGACTGAGAGAAGAATTACAGATATTCCTTGTTATGATTTGAGTTTTGACTGGCAAATATGACAGTTTGGATAGCAAGAGATTTATCCAAAAATTTATCTATTCAGTATCACAGCACAAAAGTTGGGAAAATGAGAATTTGGATCAATTTCTGATATGAAGAAATTTCTAATCATTATGGTAAAATGAGCAGATTGATAGGGAAGATCCCCTTCAATTTCACAGCTGTGGAAATGCTAGATAAAAGAACCTCCCCACACATATTTGTACAAAAATTAAATTAAAATTAAAAAGCAAAGGTGAGCTCTTAGGTCCTCGCTTCCAAGAAGACAAAGAAAAGAAGGAACAATGGTTGTGCCAAAAAGGGCTATGGCCACGTGCAGCTAGGATGCACGAACTGCATCCACTCTGCATGTCCAGGGACAAGTCTATTAAGAAGTTCATCACTGGAAATATAGTAGAGGCCACAGTCATCAGGGACATTTCTGAAGCAAGTGTCTTCAGTACCTATGTTATTCTTAAGCTATATGTGCAACTACACTATTGCATGAGTTGCACCATTCACATTCACAGCAAGGTGGTCAGGAACCATTCTTGTGAAGCCCAGAACGACTGAACACCCCTACCCCAATTTAGACCTGCAGGTGCTCCTCCATGACCTCCACCAAAGCCCATGGAAGGATTTTAGTCCTTAAAGACTGAAGAAAAACTAAACTGAAAGAAAATAAAATGAAAATTATAAAGACATAGCAGTGGTAGGTATGGTGGTAAAGGTGTATTGACTCTTGGGATAAATCTTGTTGGATTAGGTTAAAACTCTAGAAGAGATGGACTTAAGGTCCTAGGTTCTTGATGGAGAGCCAGAAACAAAAATCCACAAAACAAGAATAGGACATTTTTGAGGGGTGAAGGGAAGAGAAAGAGGCAAAGACAGAGAGAGAGAGAAAGGATTACAAAGAGATTATAAACGAGTAACAAATATCAACATTTATTGCATTAATTCGAGTGTTGCGTAGGCAAAGCCTTATTTCCAGTGAATAGAGTAACTTCCAGAGAAGCAGACAGATAGCTGGGGTTGAGATGACTCCAACTCATAGCGACCTTATGTACAACAGAATGAAATGCTGCCCAATCCTATGCGATCACCAGCATGTTTGAGTCCACTGTTTCAGCTGCTGCGCCAATCCATCTCACTGAGCGTCTCCCTTACCCTTGCTGACCCTCTATTTCACCAAAAATGATGTCCTCCTCCAGTAATTGATTCTTCCTGATAATGTGTCCAAAGCAAGTGAGTCAAACAATGTTCTGTTGTGATCCTTAAGGTTTGTTTTTATTCACTTTATTTTTTTGTTGTTATTGTTGAATCTGTAAGATTTTCATTGGCTGATTTTTGGAGGTAGATTTTCAGGCCTTTCTTCCTAGTCGGTCTTAGTCTGGAAGCGCCACTGAAACCTGTCTACCATAGGTGACCCTGCTGGTATTTGAAATACTGGTGGTGTAGCTTCCAGATTCATAACAACAGGTAAGCCACCTCAATAGGACAAACTGACAAAGGGGTGGTAGTCTAGAGAAGTACTTGCTCCATTAGCATATATATTCCACAACAAAGGGGCAAGTCTTCTGATTCAAGACCAGGGTGAAAATAAATCTATAGAGTAAAGGTCTGGCTTGATCCTCTTTCTATTCAAATGCTTTTCTGTTTCGTATTCCAGACTAAAAACATTCATGACACTTCTTAGAATAGATCAAAACACATCTTGGATGCTCTCTCTAAAAACCGTTAAGTCTAAACATTCCCTAGGATGGAAACACATATTAACAGGACTTTTCTGAGCTCCTAAAAGTTTCTATCTGTGCTTACAAAAATAGTCAACCTACAGTAGCTGATAACATCAAGTTGATGTATCTCTAAATTCACTGTTTTCTGTGTAGAAACAGCTTTATTTGTCAGAACAGAAAACTACTAAGGGCTGGGGAAAAGAGGAACTGAAAGTAACTGCTTAATGGGTATGGGGTTTTATTTTGGGGTGATGAAATGTTTTGGAACTAGAGAAAGGTGGTGGTTACACAACATTGCGAATACACTAAATATTACTTTAAAGTGGTTAATTTTATGTCATGTGAATTTCAACTCAATAAAGAAACTTGTTGAGGACAAAGGTGTGGCATCTATACAAAAGTAACTTGGTTAACCACTCTGCCTCACACAAAAACACAGCACTCTAAGTTGCCAGCCATCTAACAAATACATGTAGCTGGTTACAAAAAGGTCTGATAAAACAGCAAGCACAGAACAACAGAAATACACCACTGGGAAACTAGGAAAACAAGTCAATTACATACTAAGAACACTGCCTTAGCCAAGCTCTTAACCTCTGTGCCACCAGGGCTCCTCACATATAATAAGCACACTGCAAAAACGTTTCTTTTCTGAATATGAAATTGGGGGTAAAAATCTATTATTCTTTAACAACTTTTCTCATTTCACAATTCCAAAGGCTAAGGATCTAATTTTATGACAACTTTTGATCTGAGATACAAACATATAAAGCTTAGATGTCACAGGAATATGCTTTAGAAATAAACCATGAGGTGAATGAACGTCTTACCTCTGAATTCAAGTCCCCGCAGCTGGAAGGTGACTAGACCATTGCCTATCTCGATAAGGTGTACTAATGCATTGAGGTAGTCAGAGGCCAGAATGAAACAGTCTCCAGTACTGTAGTTTCCCCACCGTCCTAGCAGCAAATCACCACACAGACTGTGTTGCAGGGATCTGGTTAAATGTTCATAAAAGATGGAATTCAGATTGTTGTCATCTGATCCTATAAGGAGGGATTTTAAAAAATGTTAAATTTTACTTTAAATCTTCTTTATATTGACAAACAAGATTGTTAGAAATCTTAAAACTAACTTTCAGTTAGGACTGTATCAATATTTTTTTGACAAGAAAAATAATATTCACACTCTCACAACTTCTATATAAAAATGAACCATGGGATAATGGAAAAAGTTTCAAAACTCAAGAGCTACACATCAACCCCTCTGAATCTCCAGTTGCCATCCACAAAATGTGGGAACTGGATTAGATGAGAGTTAAGGTCTTTTCCATCTCTGTCTTAATTATCTAGTGCTGCTATAACAGAAATACTGCAAGTGGGTGGCTTTAACAAACAAATTTATTTCTCACAGTTTAGGAGGCTAGAAGTCCAAATTCAGGGTGCCGGCTCTACAGGAAGGCTTTCTCTCTCTCTCGGCTCTGGAGAAAGGTCCTTGTCTCTTTAGCTTTTGCTTCCTGGTTCCTTGGAGATCCTGACGTGTCTTGGCATCTATCTTACCCCAACTCTGCTTACTCGCTTGCTTGTTTAATCTCTTATATACCTCAAATGAGACTGACTCAAGACACATCCTACAGTAATCCTGTTTCATTAACATAACAAAGACAACTCATTCCCAAATGGGATTATAACCACAGGCATAGAGGCTAGGATTTATAACACATATTTTTGGGGACACAATTCAGTCCATAACATTCCACACTTGGCCCCAAAAATTCACGTCCTTGCCACATGTAAAACACATTCACCCCACAACATGATCCCAAAAGTCTTAAATCAGCTCCAAGTCCAAAATCTCATCATCTGAATCATCTATCAAATACGGGTGACACTTTAGGCACATTCCATCCTGGGGCAAAATCTTCTTCATCTACGAATCTGTGAAATCTAGATTACAAGTTATCTACTTCCAAAGTACAATGGTGGAACAGGCACAAGGTAGACATTTCCATTACAAACGGGAGAATTTGGAGGGAAAGAAGGGATAACGGGCACCAAGCAAGTCCAAAACTCAGCAGAACAATTCAGATTAGCTCTCAAGGCTTGAAAATAACCCTCTATTCTCTGAGACCATTTAGGCAACGGCCCTGCCCTCCAGACTCTGAGTGTTGTCCACGTCCTCTGGATTCTGGGTGGAGACCCCTCAACTCTAGGCTTCAGATCTGACTTCCAGGCCCACTGGGATGGCAACTCTGCTCCCTTCCACTTTAGGTGGCTCCATTCTCCTAGTTCATCTGAGTGGCAACCCTGCTCCCTTGGCCGCAGCAGACTCCGTTCTTCTGTCCCTCGGGCATGGCAGCTCTACTCCATCAGCTCTGGGCAGCGGAACCATCCCCCAGGCACACTTTAACGGCAGCCCCACACTCCGGAACTGAGTTTGCAAAGATCCAACTCTTTGAAACCTAGGAGGCTGTGGCCCCACCTTTTGAGAGTCAGGAGACCACAGCCCCATCCTTTGAAACTGAGAAGGCCCTGCTTCCTGTGCTCCTTCCAACAGTTCTGCTGATCTCTGAACTACTCCAGGGATGGTCCTTTTCTTTTCTGGGGGACAAAAGATGTAACTCCTTTGGCCTGTTTCCTGCCTGTAGAATTTCAAGAGGCAGATAGCGATCTTTCGTTCTTTTTCTGTCCCCTTCAGTCTAAGCTGATGGGTTTTCTGCTGTGGTAGTTGGTCAGATCCACCAGTCACAGGCTGTCTTAGTTATCTAGTGCTGTTATAACAGAAATACCACAAGTGGAGGGCTTTAGCAAAGACAGATTTATTCCTTCACAGTAAAGTAGGTTAAAAGTCCAAATTCAGGGCATCAGCTCCAGGGGAAGGCTTTCTCACTCTGTCGGCTCTGGGAGAAGGTCCTTGTCATCAATCTTCCCCTGGTCTAGGAGCTTCTCAGTGTAGGGACCCTGGGTCCAAACAACGCGCTCTGCTCCCAGTGCTGCTTTCTTGGTGGTATGAGGTCCCACTATCTCTCTGCTTGCTTCTCTCTTTTATATCTCAAGAGACTGCCTCAAGACACAATCCAATATTGTAGATTGCGTCCATCCTCCTTCATTAATATCACAGAGCCAGGATTTACAACATATAGGAAAATCACACAATACTGTGAATCATGGCCCAGCCAAACTGATAAGACATATTTTTGGGGGGACATAATTCAATCCAAGACACAGGCTTAATCTCTTCAACAAAAGATTGTGTAGCCAAGGCATTGGTGAACATTCTAGGACACGTGTCTTTAATTTGTACAAAAGAATTTTCCTAATCTTTAAGTTCTGTTTTCATTTTGCACAGTTCATTTTTAAATCTATCACTTTCTTCTTGCATTTTACCATAAATGACAAGGAGAAACCAAGCAGCCCCTTTATTATCTTGCTTAGAAATCTCATCAGCCAGATATCCAAGTTCATCACTTATATATTCTACCTTCCACCAAATATTTGAACATAATTTGGACAAGTTCTTAGCTACTGCATAAAAAGCATCACCCTTCCTCCATTGTTCAATCACATGTTCATCATTTTCTTTTAAAGCCTCACCAAAAGCACATTTAATGTTCACATTTCTAGAAACATTTCGTTGCTGTTGTTGTTGTTAGGTGCTGTCAAGTCGCTTCTGACTCATAATGATGCTATGTACTAGAGAATGAAACACTGCCCTGTCCTGCAACATGCTCACAATTGTCGTTATACTTGAACCCACTGCTGCAGCCACTGTGTCAATCCATCTCCTAGAGGGTCTTTTTCTTTTGCGCTGACCCTCTACTTTACCAAGCATGATGTCCTTCTCCAGGGACTGATCCCTCTTGATAACATGTCCAAAGAATGTTAAGATGTAGTCTTGCCATCCTTGCTTCTAAGGAGTATTTTGGTTGTACTTCTTCCAAAACAGATTTGTTCATTCTTTTGGCAGTCCGTGGTATATTCAATGCTCTTCACCGACACCATAATTCAAAGGCATCAATCCTTCTTTGGTTCTTCCTTATTCATTGTCCAGCTTTTGCATGCATATGATGTGACTGAAAATACCATGGCTTGAATCAGGAGCACCCCAGTCTCCAAGTTGACATATTTGCTTTTCAACACTTTAAAGAGGTCTTTTGCAGCAGATCTGCCAATGCAATGCATCTTTTGATTTCTTGACTGCTGCTTCCATGGGTGTTAATTGTGGATCCCAGTAAAATGAAATCCTTGACAACTTCAATCTTTTCTGTTTATCATGATGTTGCTTATTGGTCCAGTTGTGAGGATTTTTGTTTTCTTTTTGTTGAGGTATAATCTGTACTGAAGGCTGTGGTCTTTGATCTTCATCAGTAAATGCTTTAAGTCCTCTTCACTTTCAGCAAGCAAGGATGTGTCATCTGCATAACACAGGTTGTTAATGAGTCTTCCTCCAATTCTGATTCCCCGTTCTTCATACAGTTCAGCTTCTCAGATTATTTGCTCAGTATACAGATTGAATAGGTATAGTGAAAGGATCTAACCCTAATGCACACTTTTCCTGACTTTAAACTATGCAGTATCCCCTTGTTCTGTTTGAACAACTGCCTCTTGGTCTATGCACAGGTTCCTCACGAGCACAATTAAGTATTCTGGAATTCCCATTCTTTGCAATGTTATCCATAATTTGTTATGATCCACAGAGTTGAATACCTTTGCACAGTCAATAAAACATAGGTAAACATCTTTCTGGTATTCTCTGCTTTCAGCCAGGATCTATCTGACGTCAGTAATGATATCCCTGGTTCCACGTTCTCTTCTGAATCTGGCCTGAATTTCTGGTAATTCCCTGTCGATATGCTGCTGTAGCCACTTTTGAATGATCTTCAGCAAAATTTTACTTGCGTGTGATATTAATGATATTGTTCAATAATTTCTGCATTCGGCTGTATAACCTTTCTTGGGAATAGGCATAAATACGGATCTCTTCCAGTTGGTTGGCCAGGTAGCTGTCTTCCAAATTTCCTGGCACAGACGAATGAGCACTTCCAGTGCTGCATTCATTTTTTGAAACATCTCAATTGATATTCCATCAATTCCTGGACCTTGTTTTTCACCAATGCCTTCAGTGCAGCTTGGATGTCTTCCTTCAGTACCATTGGTTCCTGATCATATGCTACCTCTTGAAATGGTTGAATGCTGGCCAATTCTTTTTGGTATAATGACTCTGTATTCCTTCCATCTTCTTTTGATGCTTCCTGCATTGTTTAATATTTTCCCCACAGAATTCTTTACTATTGCAACTTGAGGCTTGAATTTTTTCTTCAGTTCTTTCAGCTTGAGAAATGCCGAGCGTGTTCTTCCCTTTTGGTTTTCTACCGCCAGCTCTTTGCACATTTCATTATAATACTTTGTGTTCTTGAGCCGCCGTTTGAAATCTTCTGTTCAGTTCTTTTGCTTCATCATTTCTTCCTTTTGCTTTAGCTACTTGACATTCAAGAGCAAGTTTCAGAGTCTCTTCTGACATCCACTTTGGTCTTTTCTTTCTTTCCTGTCTTTTTAATGACCTCTCCTTTTCTTCACGTATGATGTCCTTGACGTCATTCCACTACTCATCCGGTCTTCGGTCATTAGCGTTCAACGTGTCAAATCTATTCTTGAGATGGTCTCTAAATTCAGGTGGGATATACTCAATCTCTCTTGGACTTGTTCGAATTTTCTTAAGTTTTTACCTGAACTTGCATATGAGCAATTGATGGTCTGTTCCACAGTCGGCCCCTGGCCTTGTTCTGACTGATGATATTCAGCTTTTCCATCGTCTCTTTCCATAGATGTAGTCGATCTGATTCCTGTGTATTCTATCTGGTGAGGTCCATGTGTATAGTCGCTGTTTACATTGTTGAAAAAAGGTATTTGCAATGAAGACGTCATTGGTCTTGCAAAATTCTATCATGTGATCTCCGGTATTGTTTCTATTACCAAGGCCGTATTTTCCAACTATCGATCTTTCTTCTTTGTTTCCAACTTTCACATTCTAATCACCAGTAATTATCAATGCATCCTGACTGCATGTTTGATCAATTTCACACTGTGGAAGCTAGTAAAAATCTTCAATTTCTTCATCTTTGGCCTTAGTGATTGGTGTGTAAATTTTAATAATAGTCGTATTAACTGGTCTTCCTTATAGACATATGGATATTATCCTATCACTTACAGTGTTGTACTTCAGGATAGATCTTGAAATGTTCTTTTTGATGATGAATGCAGTGCCATTGCTCTTCAAGTTGTCATTCCTGGCATAGTAGACCATATGATTGTCTGATTCAAAATGGCCAATACCAGCCCATTTCAGCTCACTAATGCCTAGGATATCGATCTTTATGTGTTCCATTTCATTTTTGACGATTTCCAATTTTTCTAGATTCATACTTCATACATTCCACATTCCAATTATTAATGGAAACATGAAGCTGTTTCTTCTCATTTTGAGTTGTGCCACATCAGCAAAAGAAGGTCCTAAAAGCTTGACTCCATCCATGCCATTAAGGTCGACTCTACTTTGAGGAGGCAGCTCTTCCCCAGTCATCTTCGGAGTGCCTTCCAACCTTGGGGGTTCTTCTTCTGGGACTGTATCAGACAGTGTTCTGCTGCTATTCATAAGGTTTTCACTGGCCATTTTTTTTTTTTTTCAGAAGTAGACTGTTGGGTCCTTCTTCCTAGTTTGTCTTAGTCTGGAAGCTCAGCTGAAACCTGTCTACCATGTCCCCCCTCATGTCTGTAAGTTTGTTGTACTGCGGGGGCTTGTGTGTTGCTGTGATGCTGGAAGCTATGCCACCAGTACTCAGAAACCAGCAGGGTCACCCATGGATTTTGTTGCTGGCACCATATATATTCTCCTGAGATGACAGAAACTTTCTCTATAGCTCTCCTCACCTCCTTCTGAGCTCTGACCAGAATTGCCTTTGATGTCCATAATTCTATCAACAGTCTCTTCAAGGCAATCTAGGCTTTTACTACCGGGCATCTTAAAACTCTTCCAGCCTCTACTCATTACCCAATTCTAAAACCACATCCACGTTTTAGGTATCTGTTAGGGCAGCACCCTACTCTATCTTAGTTATACAGTGTTGCTATAACAGAAATACCGCAAGTGGGTGGCTTTAACAAACAGAAATTTATTTTCTCAGAGTTTAGGAAGCTGGAGGTCCAAATTCAAGGTGCCAGCTCTAGGGGAAGGCTTTCTCTCTCTGTCAACTCTGGAGGAAGTCTAACTAAAAGAATAAGACAATAAAAGGGGAATACCAGACTCTAGTGTCAATAAGATGTTTGTATCTAATTCTTTGTCTGCGCATTACAAAAGTGCATGTTAATTCAGGACATGGTCTTTTTGTTATGCAGGATGGCACTATCAGCATCATGAGTATTCTAACCCCCTTGCAAGCACCTACTGGAGCTAAGATGGTTCTTTTATCTACTAGAACATGATCATGATAGTCATAAATATCAAATAACTAATAATAGTCATTAATAACTAGTTCTTTTCCCCATTTTATAATTATGAATCATTCTGATTATTATAATTAAATTTCAGGTAGGCAGAGCACTTGAGAAAATTTGCAAGTCAAATAGACACAAATATTCCAGCCTATTTGGGAGTTAATATTTCTTTTAGTAAATTAATACATTGAAATTCTGGTTGATACATGAATCTCTTATGATTGGGGCAGTGAGATTCACTGTCTCTGTGTCAGATTACTATTGGGTGGGCTCACAGAACGATGTTTCCCAAACGACAAAACTAAGAACCAAGCATTAGGTAATGGTTTAACACCACCAAGATGTCATCCACTGAAATCCTAAATTGGATAATTGTCCAACTGGTGTCCCCTAGATGACATCTCTACATACAATAAACTAAAGGAAACTTATATTTACCCAAACATTTAGGGGAGAAGGAGGCAAACATATTAATAAAACATGCATCAATCTGATTGCAGACCCTTCAATACACCTGACCAGTTTTATTTTAACTGTGTTCTACTTTTTAACCTATGCAAGAAGAGATTTTAAATGGCATTTCATTACTATCAGCATTCTTATGATGTATTTTATGAAAGATGGGCATTTAAATTTGTACATACTCTCATTCATACATACTTTGCTAAAGTGAAGAATAGTCTAAAAAAAAAGATTTATTTTTCATTTGGAACCCACAGAGGATTCCCAAAAACCTTGGTGTGAAATATATATATTACATTCCTTATACTTGCCTCTTTACTCACAAATAGAGCTATTACCTGGATTTCTATCAAGCTGAGAAGCCAATCTGGTATTTGAATGATCCACTCGTTTTGTGCTGAAGATGACAAAAGAAAACATATTCAATAACTTTTTTACACTTCAAAAAGGTTTCACAATTAAGGATGAGGGAGAAAAATATAGAATATAAACGAAATAAATATTACCACTTTATGAAAATCTCTGGTAAAATCCATGTTACATAATGATAAAACTTCTTGGTAGCACAATTTTAACGGTAAAGTCTTTTTGACTCTCCCACTTCCTCCCTCCCTACACATACATGCAGTTTTTTCCAAACTGATGTTTCCCTGAACAATGTGTAGGAAGATATTAATAAGTGTATGGGGGGGGGGGGGGGGACTTACCAGGATGAAAAAACTTATACTATGTACGCTGTTCTTAAAAATTTACAGTGCATGAAACGTTCTTTGCCAGGGGAAGGTACATCTACCAATGTCTGGTGGTAGAATATTCTTTAGAAAAGTGGTTCATGAAATGTGGTCCACAGAACCCAGGGTAAGGGGTTCAAGACCCTTTGAGGGACTTTTTGAGATCCAAACTATTCTCCTAACAATACTGACCAATATATGACCTTTTTTTTTCACTGTATTGACAGTTGCAGTGATGGTATAAAAACAATGGTATAACTGCTGGTACCTTAGCATGAATTAAGGCAGGGTCACCAATAATGACACAGTAAAAATTACTAATTTTATTAAATCTCTTACCATTCTGGACAGGCCTTTTTAATATTCTTTGTGGCAAAATGAGAAAATACACATTGGCTAAACTAAGATTATTCAGGCTTGGGTATTTAACAGACATTTCTTGAAAATGAAGAAAGTTAGCCTGTCATTTCAAGGAAAACAGCTAACAATATCTGTTGTCAATGATAAAATTCAAGATTTCAAGCAAAAATCAGAATTTTGGAAAATGTATATTCACTACCATGAGCTTGAAAGCTTCCTTACACTTAAAGATTTTTTTTGAGTTGGTGGTGAAATTAATGAACACATTTTTAAAAATATTATATAACGAAATATGTCAACATTTGGAAGATCTACATTACTCAGTGAACCAATATTTTCCAAATGACCATAAATGATGCCACAAAACTATGCATGGATAAAAGATCCAGAAAGATCAGTGGATTTTGATGTAACTCAGTTCTAAATGTTCGTGGATATGGTTTTAGATTCCACATCACAACTAACCATTAAGAAATTACCATTTCTCAAGTTTTAGTGAAGTATCAAAAAATAATATCCACAATTACCTGAAAATACTTTTATTTTCCAATTACATATCTGTGTGAGGCCAAATTTTCTTAATATACTTCAATCAAAATGACATATTGCAACAGATTGAATGAAGAAGCAGATATAAGAATCCAGCTGTCTTTTACTAATCCACACATTAAAGACATTTGTAAAAACATAAAACAATGCCACTCTTCTCACTAATTTTTTTGGGGAGAGGGTAAATATAGCTATTCGCATTTTTTAAAAAAAAGTTATTTATGTTAACATGTAGTGGGTTTATTATTTTTAAATTAATTAATAAGCATGAAAATTTTTCTGAATTTTGATTTCTAATAAAGTAAATATCGATAAATAAAACCCACATAAACAATAACGCCTCAGAGTTCTCAATAATTTTTAAGAGTGTAGAGGGGCTCTGAGATCAAAAAGTTTAAGAACTGCTGCTGTAAAACATTATCTGGGGCTAAAAACTGGCTCAGGAGAAAAGAACAGGATTGAAATCTATCTGGTGAGCACTGAAGTTCACTAAAACAGGAAATACTATTTCAGATAAAGTGTGATTTTAAATAAAGGACCAGAGTAAAAGTTTCACACCCACAAACTAATTCACTGTTTAAAAGGTGAGATGACAATTTCCACCTATTGAATTTGCCAATGTGTGAAAATGCAGAGAGAAAGACAGTCACGGACATGGCCAGTAAAATTATAAATTACTAGCTTTTTGGAAATTAATCAAAGACCTTTAAAATGTTTATGTTTACTGATTCAGTAATTTCTCTTCTAGGAACTCTTCCTCAAATAAATAAAGTGAAGTTTGAAGAGATTACACACAAAGATCGTTACTGGGCATTAGATTAATAACTAGCCTAAGGAACGAAGCCTAAATGGAGAAAATACTTTATGTACAAAGATGATCACCAGAAAGTTATACTCATGAAAAATCAGAAATAACTATAACTTATTATAACTAATAAAATAGTGTAACATTATAATATATAAAGTCTAAGTGTGTTATTATTGTGGAATAATTCCAAGAAATATTCTTAAAAGGAAAAAATATATAAAATGAGTACATTAAATTACAACTATGTTTTCAAAATCTTATAAGCAGAAAAAATATAGAAAACAAGAGTAATTTTCCTCTGACTTTTCTACTTTTGCTATAATTTTCACATTTTAAAAGCTTATAAATTTTTAGCAAAAATAAGTATTTCAACACGCCAAATTATGAACCACGAACAACTTTTAAAAATAAGTCTACCTTAGTTTTTCCTAGCAAAAATGATAAAAATTGGCTATCAAGTATTTTATTTTACTCACTTGTAGTCTCTCTCCCAGAATTTCACAGGTCGAACATAGGAAGTGATGAATATGGCACTTCCCAGAAAGGGGTTTAGTGGAGTAGAAAAGAAAGCTGAAACAGCAGCCTGAACAAACAACATGGCTGAGTCTATGGGGAAACTGGTTAAGGAACTTAACATTCACCTTAGCACAAAATAAAAAATATATCTCACAACAAACACATTTAGATTACAGTAATTAGAAAAATGAGATTCATGAGAGGATTACAGAAGAGACTGTGTCACTAGACAACTAAGGGGGGGACAAGTAGAAAGATACAGACAGAAACTACAAGCTGGCATGATGCTTCGAAGGGACTCAACTTGCTAATACGCATTTGGTAAAAGTCCATTTATCAATCTTGGATAGAAACGCTTAGGTTTAATCTTCCTGGAAACTAAAACTAAAATTTACAGATAACACAAAAATCTGCATTTCAACATCTATGAGACCACTAATCTTTACTTTTACTTAGAAAGTACTCTTAAGAAATGATGAGCATAGAAAATTTTGGATTAATTACAATCACATGATTATGAAAAATGTTTCATACCTTCATTTATTTTAAAATATTTTAAAAATATTATGCATGTACTGAAAATTCCTGAATTTTAATATTCACATATACAAACAAAATTTTAAATCAGCATTACAACTTTAATACTTTTCCCATATTCAGATATCTGTGGATCACAGATTTTCATATAAATTAAATAATCAAAATCAATATAGGTGTGAACTCAAAGAATTGTGAATTTCTGATAAATCTATCATACACTAGGAAACCCTGGTGGCATAGTAGTTAAGAGCGACATCTGCTAACCAAAAGGTTGGCAGTTCGAATCCACCAGGCACTCCCTGGAAACTCCGTGGGGCAGTTCTACTCTGGCCTATAGGGTTGCTATGAGTCAGAATTGACTCGACGGCAATGGGTTTTGGTTATTATACACTAACTATAATTTACCACACATTAACTATATTCTATGCCTGTGAAAGGTTATCCCTACAAACCAACATTCTCATGAAGGATATGACTGCCCATTCTTATAAAACTGTAATTAGAAGGATACGAGGCACTGCGAAGGGCTGAGCGAAAGCATGAAAAGCAGAACCCCATGTAATTTGCCACGGGGCAATATAGGTATACACAAACTGCAATTTATAAAGGAGTTCCCAAAGCTGAAGGAGGAAAAGAAAACAATTAGCAAAAAAGTTAACAGATATATGAATTAAAAAATGAAAGAACTCTGAAATGTATTTTCTCCCTAATAGAGAAGTGACATTGGGATTATTTTATATCTGTCTGATAGGAAAAGATATCAACTGACAAAATACTGCCCTGTTTTTTATGTTGCTGTTGTTTCGTTTTTAGTAAAGATAGCAAGCTGGTTTATGAATTTGTGTTTCATCTGCTTAAAAAATTCTACGCCCTCTATTGGCCGTACTACTAATACCAGCAAAATAAAGAAATATGTGTGTGTGTGTGTGTGTGTGTTGCGTGTGTGTGTATTCTAAGGCCCATTCCCCCAGCAGATTTTAGTGTTCTGGAAATAGAATTTGAAAGCCAGGCAGGGGACAAACCTGTAATACAGCTGTCACTTCCTGTTCATGTGGGAAATGAATTCTGCATATCAGACATCTACTTATACACCTCAGTTGTTACTGCCAATGGTAGCACAATATACATTTCTATTATATCTACATTTGGATCTCTTATTGCTGTTGAACATATCTTTAATCCTGAAGCAGCTATTGTATTTGCCCAAGATTGCCTCTAACATGTTGGGCAATGCAAGGTTCTCTCTCTCTAAACAGATCACAGAATCTTAAAACCAAGAGGTTCCGGCCAATTCAGGTGCCATGATTTAGGCACCAAACACCTCAGTTCTTAACATCTTTTAGTTGATTTATACATGAACCTGTTTAACCTCCAATTTAAATAAGAATCACAACTTGAACCAATTAGAAAACGCTGATGAACTCCAATGTTCTTTGCTATGACTCAATCATCAGGACCCACAGTAAGTGAAAGCAGCAAATACATCATCATGCTCCGACTACAAATGCTTAAAAGCAGTGATTCAGAAAACTTTTCAGGTTCTAAATGTGAGACAGATTATGTTCAAATTTTGACTTTAATACTGAAGAATAAAATTATGTACAATTATATGGACAAGAAGTTGGTTAGTAAAAACATTTTTGTATACATTTAGAGTAATTTTTTCTTGAAAAGTTATTATTAAATTGATAGCGTATCTTACAATAATAGAATAAAAATACATCTAAAGAGATTCCTTGTGTATTACTTGCTTATTATCATTAAGTTCTACTTAGTGACCATATAAAATGCAGACTCCTTAAGGGCATAGTTCTTTGTGTTTCATCCTAAGCATCTAAAACAGTCCTGGAACATGGTATGCACTCAAATACACATTTGTTTAAGAAATGAAAGTATTAAGAAAATCCACTACTCTAATGCAGTTAAGTGTAGCGGGTGTATTTCACGGATTGTTTGATTTATACTTTAGTGCAACTTTCACTTTTTTCCAATCAGTATAATCAGATGCAATACAATTTTCAATCTACATATTTAAATTTGTAAGAAACCACACACTTCTTTATACAAACAATTGCCTGATTAACTTTCTGGCTTCCTCCACTGGTCAATTACCATATTCGTTACAAGAGGGAATAAATGATAAAAGTGAATACAAATTAGTGGTTGTACAACTATAATACTGAAATATTTTAAAAGTTATTTATCGTAATACTGAAATTAACTATCACTAAAACCTTGCTCAGATGAATGGTTTTCCATTTTTACTGTTCCCATCCTAGGTCAGAGCTCCATCACATCTGAAGTGCTGTCAAAACCTCTTAAGCTTTTCTCCATACCTTTAGGTTCTCTCTTCCCCAATTCATCCCAAATGTGGCTGACCAGGCTAACTTTCCTAAAATTGGGCTTTCATTGTGTTTTGTAGCTGCTCATATGCTTCAGCTCTCTGTTACCTATCAAATGGGATAATATATGTCAAAGTCCTTTGTATGTAGTCAGTGTTAACATGAAATCTAAGCACTACTTAATTTACAAAGCTTTATAAAACATGATCGTACAATCTATGTCATGTAGAAAAGGTAGTGTGATTCAGCAAAAAGACCCTTCAATAGGAAGGCAGAAATCTAGGTTTTATCAGTTCATTTATGAAAGGAATAAGAGCATCCACCTTATAGGTGAATAACAAATTTTAGAAGCATCCTGTAAACTTCAGAGTATTCTGCAAATGTCACATCAAGCTAATTTCTGAATGCTCCCACATGGCTTCATGGCCCTCAGTATCTACCATCTTCATTCAGATATCAGGTTATTAACCTCAACTAGACTCTCCTTCCTCCATCTATCCACACTTAAGCAGCCCACAGACCTATTCAATTATTACTATTTCCATTTCTTAAATTATTCCAAACTACAGTCCCTTCTGAAAGGGCCTATATATTTAAAAATATAAATTTGTATTAGTGTTTCTCTAATTTTTCTACATAAGTTAATCTTATCTTCCTAGCTATAGCAAGGACTAGATCTTTTATGGATCATAGTGACTAACATTGTTTCGGGAAACTAATACGCTCTTGAATAATGAGTTGATTGAAGAGAGAGATTATTTACTTAAAATACAATCAATTAAATGAAATGCAAGGATAATCCTCACTCAACAGTACATTACTTAGGCAGATAGTTTTTATAGATGGGGTAATTCCTTTCACTGATAAGTTACCTTGTTGAAGAGTATGGACATGAAGAAGAGGTCTAATAGCATGGTCTCTGAAAAAGCTTCATAGTCAAATTTGAAAAAGAGAACGGTAAAGATGACTGTGACATACTGATAAGTAGGGCTGCTAAAAGAGGATCGCAGCAACTTCAAACCAGCAATGGTGATCATTAAAGCACCTAATCTATAATATAAGGAAAGCACAAGTCATCAATGACTGAAAATTTTAGAATATCTACTAACTTCAGAAAAATCATCATTTAAATTACCAACCTTATAATGTATAGATCAAACTTAAACTAAAAATGATTTCTACAGCTAAGCAAATTAGATTCTAAAAGAATTTGACTACTATAATGTTTGGTTTTAATAATATATATTATGATTCTTATTCTTTACATAAATAAGCCTGTTTAAAAATAAGAAACAATACTGTAACTTGTGACATGTGGTTCTCCAGTTTCTCAATATTCCTATTACTTTAATATTAATTGCATTTAGCACATGAAAAATATATTAATTTTTACTCAATATCATGTACCTATTCTAGTGGGTAGGACCACAAGATAACCGTGTAGGCAACTGACCACATATGTGGTACACAAAAATGACCATCTCCCAAACTTGCCATCTAATATTAAAAATTAACCTTCCCTCATAAAATATGTTAACACTGAGCAAAAATAGATGTTCAGAAAAGGGAAGTCAAATACAAATTTCACCTCAATCTTTTATTGCACAAGGTCTTGCATCAAATAGACACTCAATGACTATTTGTTACTTGATCAGTGACTTAAGACGTTGCTTATAATATCCCCCAAAAGCCAGACTTAAATTAGAGGACTATTGTACTTACTCTGTATCCAGTTTTTTTGGACTAGCAATTGTCTCTGCACTGCTACTAAGCTCATTGAGAACAATCAATGGATAGATGATATTCTTCTCCACAAAAAGAAGCCACACATGAAGTTTCTCAAACCACATCATAGTGGCTGCATCTAATAAAGCAATATAAGTCAAGAAGACCACATGTCACCTAATGTATAAAATATTTTGGCAACGTGATGACAAAGGAAAATCTTACAACTTAAATTTAGCTCTACTATAAATAAATAAAGGAGCCCTGATGGCACAGTGGTTAAGCGCTTGGCTGCTAAGCAAAAGATCGACGGTTTGAACCCACCAGCAATTCCATGGGAGAAAGATGTGGCAGTCTGCTTCCATAAAGACTGCAGCCTTGAAAATCCCATGCGGCAGTTCTACTCTGTCCTATAGGGTAGCTATGAGTTGGAATCGACTTGACAGCAATGGGTTTGATTTTGGTCTTTATAAATAAATAAGAAATCCAGTACTTAAGTCAACAGTCAACTTCTATGAATTCTGGGACATATCCAAATTTGCAAATTCAGATATTACTTGAATTTAGATGAATTTCATTTTAAACTTTAATTTTTGAAACTTCAGTTTATAATCATAACCTTTTCTCATTTATGCCCATAACTTATAAGAAGAAGTTACTGAAGATCATTAGGCTGCTCTTCCCCCAAAAAGAAACAAATGAGCTATTAAATTATCCATTTTTAAAATGTTAAGATATGTATGCATACAGGCACACACATACATCTTTTATAAGATGCAACATCTCAGAACAGATATGGAAGAATGACATAATCTGAATTCATATCCTAAGAGTCATTTTTAATTGCCAATAATATTTTTTCCAATACGTTAATATTATTTCATTGATGAAAGTGTCTCGAGTTAACTAAAAGATTTAAAACAAGGTTCTTGGGCTATCTGAAAACAATGTCACTTGCTTTTAGAAAGTTCTCTAATGAACAGTATTTTTCTTTCAGCTGCTAAAATCAGTAAGAGGACAGAACTCAACTTTGCTATTACCTAGTACTTTTAATGAGTCAAAAATGATATGCTGATTCAAAATTTATAAAAATTCAGATTAAATGTTTCTATAAAGATCAAAAATAAGAACAATGTACCCAATGATTTATTTTAACGACAACTGCTGATCTTTAAAACAAACCAGATATACTTGGTATCATTTACATACGAAAATGATACTAATAGTTCACCATCAAAAAAAGTCTTGAGAACCCAAGATTGAGCAAGGATATTGTTGATGTGTTGTGAGATTGTTAACCATTGTCATAGGGCAACATTTGTAGTAACTGTTAAATGAGAAACTATTTTGTTCTGTAAGCCT